TAATCTTAAAACATCCAGTTCAAGCTTACCGTCCGGTTCAAGTTTAACGTCCAGTCCAAGTTTAACGTCCAGTACAAGCTTAACGTCCAGTTCAAGCTAACCACCCTGTTTGATCCCAGGCTTAACATTACGCAAGTACTGTCGCAATGTCGCCACATTATATACCATAGCTTGGTCTACTGCGTCATATTCATACCGTTTGCCATTGTGTAAATTAATATTCTTAAAGGCTGATTGGAAGCTCTCCCCTTATATAATTACTGCGTATACTATATAATATACTAAGTATACTATGGTAGATTATAGCTGCTAGATGGCCTCCGCCTGCCTTTGTACGCTCTAATTAGCGGTCGCAATACAAAGAACTGTGCGCTCCTTCAAGCAGTTCGTCTGTTGACGTCACTTTGTAATTCCAACGTCACTTTCTCTCTCTCTCTCTCTCTCTCTCTCTCTCTCTCTCTCTCTCTCTCTCTCTCTCTCTCTCTCTCTCTCTCTCTCTCTCGCTCTTAAAAGCAGACGTTAAGCAGTCCAACAGTTGGAATCTCATATATTTTGCGTGACGTTTTCTGCTTCGTTTCAACAGTGGTCATGATTTTAGGCTCTGTTTCTCGTTTGTCTAATTACTATAAGTTTGTGTTATGTAATAATAGAGGGCCACTAGACAGCTGGTCCCATGTAACTGTTTTTATATATGATATACTATATTATATAGCGTACCTCTAGTTAGTTGTACGCTCTAAATGATATTTTGTTGAAGATTCTCCTGAAACACGTACATGACCAGCTGTAGTGGTGCTGTACCACCACCACTACACGTACAGTGAAACCTCTGTTTACCTCTCAAGGTACCCGGTATGGAGTGGCACGGTATTAATACAGGTTTCACTGTTATACAAGTTCCCTGTATTTGTGTGGTTGTGTTATTTATTTCTTTGTAGTATCTTATTAGTTAACTTGCTGTTATCGCCGTGGTCTCGAAACTCGGCAACGCCTCATTAGTCACTAAAATACCATCAATTTGTAGTTTGAATAATTAATGATATAAGTGACAATGGTGAAGTAGATTGCACAAGTTACTTAAAGGACAAGTTAAAGTACTGGCATTGTTATTATTACCCAGTACCCAGCGCGGAACAGCAATAATACATTCTGTACCTCTCTTCTACTAGACCTAGTCAGTAGAGATAAGTATATATTGGGTAGGATCCGCTATCAGTTAGGCTTCGCCGACACCTGACAGTTTGATAGGAAGTGACAAAGACCCGATAATTGCATCTCCTCTAGGAACTCTGATAAAGTACAGGCTGACCAGCTTCCGTCATCACCATGGTGATTCCTTCATCACCATGGTGATTCATCATCATGTTGGACGACACAAGTAATTACTGAATCTATTCTCCGACATGTAGCAGCACTTAAGTTCCATCTACTTCTATTAATGTACTGATAACAAAATCAACTAACTTATGTTTAACTTTTAGCTGGAGAGAAATTTATTGGAAGATTCGGTATTGCTGCCTTGTAAGGTATTTTCAGCGGTTTTACAGGCGGGATCTTATAAGTGGGACAGTTCAGGTGGGGCAATTTATTTGTTTAATTAAATGAGCTTCAACTCCTATTTAAGTATATGTTTAAACCTCCATCACATATTATTTACCCAAATATGCATCTTATAAACAGAGATTCGCTTGAATTGTGGGAGTATTTTGAATAGCAATCAGTCCCGCCCTCAGTTACAGTTGTTGAAGTATATATAACATGTTCACTGTTGTCAGTTGTCATTAACTTTTTATACTTTCAAGTGAAATATCCATCTTAATACTTACGATGTACTAATTTAGAAGCTTAATAGGGAAATATCGGATTAATTTAAGATATTATTGTTATTTATAGTTATTTATTGCAAACAAAAATTACAGCCTTTGAACAATCTCTTTTGATTTTCCATGTTTCGGCTTGGAACTGCGATGACAACATGCTATGTCAGTTTAAATATTCACGAGGTACCAACTACCCGGTCGGTCGATTTTAATGTGACACCTATGACTCATAAACTTGCTAACTAGTTGTCACAGCCATCTTGGTGCCTTTAAACCATGGTATTCATGATGTGTATACTGTATAGGTATGCAATACGTGTGTTGGTATGTCTACAGTATTATAGGTATGAGGTGTGTATAATGATAGCCTGTTCTAATACCCATAACTAGACCACCAGTCTGTATCTCTCTCCCTCATATCCTGCCCATAGTACAGATCAGCTGGCCAGCTTCTTAGATCAGACTAGGCTACTACTCTCCGTAGTGATTCAAAGTGCTGACAGCACTACCTCAAGTCTCCAACTTGCAGAGCTTCTTCATCTGAACTGGAGGTGAAGTAGAGAGTGAGAGAGCGTTGTGAGTGGGATCTGCAACAGGTGGTAGTGTGTGAGGTAGTGTGTGATACTCACACACTCTCTACCTGCCGCACGTGACCAGGTTTACACACGTGGGCGCGCGCAGGTAGAGGGTGTCCCCTCTTCCGTAGATATTTGTTGTGAAGCCGGACATGCCGGACTAAACACGACATAGGGATGGGCAGGAGGAACTATATTACTAATATCCGGAGATATGTATGATTCTATGGTTGCAGCAGCAGTCGCTCACTTCACTGTACTCTGTTGCAACTTTTTGTCATTATCAGCGGTCCGGTGTCGCTCGTGTCATCTTTATTTGCGACGTTTCGGTGTCCATTATAGTATGTGTCCAGTAGTTTCGGTGTTGAGTAGAGTTGGTGTCATGTCGCTTTCTAATCGTGCTCTCTCGGCAACCTCCTCAACTAGCGAGACGGTAATCTCTGCAAGAATTTCACAAAATTGCTCCTGCTAATTTGCAAATGAGTTACCCGCAAGTGCGAGTGGCGGGTTGAACTTGGGCAGTCTGGAGTGAGCCCGGTTTTAAATTAGGCTACTCTGGAGTGAGCCCGGTATTAAATTAGCCCTCTCAATCTTACTGATTGTTGCAAGACTTTGTTACATAAATTATTATTTTGCAGCTGCGAGTGCATCTACTTGTATTATATCATGTTTTGGCGTCCTGTTTTATCAGGGTCTTACTTCTCAACATTGATGTCCTCTTAAATTTGTAAAATTCTGTGATTGTTTACACACCTGCCTAAGTTGTAACTGCAATGATTTAAGTTAAACATCATGGCAACGTGTTGATAAACCGTTTAGATACCCGTCTAAATATCCGTGAGCTTATCAAGTACTGTCTTCACTTTCGGGTTGAGACAAATGTTATCATTTAACTGTGACTTGTCCTAGAGCTTATAGTATGCTTTTGTGGTAGCTTAAACAGGTTGTTTGTTAATAGTTGCAGAAGTCGTGCTTATCGGCGTGTTTGTCTTGTAGTTGAGATGTATTTTATTGTAATTTGTTTTCTACTAGGGTGTTTACTGGTCTTGTCTTGTAGTTGAGATGTATTTTATTGTAATTTGTTTTCTACTAGGGTGTTTGCATGGATTTACTGTTTGTTGGACGATTTCTTGAGTCTGAGCGTGTATTCATATTAGGTACAGAGAGGATGGTTTATTTGAATCAATGTAACTGTTGCTTTGGTCCCTACCAATTCAGACCTGACTACGTAAGTTCTACAGCACATAATGATCATAAAGTTAGAGTTATTCAGCACAGAATACTTTCAAAGTTAGAGTTGATGCTAACAATGTTAGAATTCTTTCCAGAATTGTTTTCTTTTGATCTGAAGCACATTTTAACCACTTCCTCTTCGCCAACCATCAAATCATAACCACATCCTTAATAATAAAATAAATAAAACCACTCACTGTACGGTTATGTCATGTAGGGCCCCGCATGAACATGATCGGTTCATGTCATGAATCTCAGATTTGATCGTTAAATTACTTGTCTGTCTGAGCACCTGCATAAAAGCGACTATCTCTAATATGCTTGGTGCTCAAGCTTTAAATTGCTTTCCTTTAAAGGATTTATTGTCAAAAATGACATATTATATTTGATCTATCGACCGCATTGTTAAATAGACGTCATCTTCCCCCCGTTCCTTGATTGGGAATATGATTTCTTTCCTTCTAAGGATTTATCTGGGGATATGAAATCTATTTTGAGAAAAAACGAGTCTGTACTCTTTTCACGGCCATTATATTTTTAATGGAATTTGTCGATCTGATTCTTAAATTGGTCAAATCGTTCTAAATTTGGAACATGCATTCACCATAAAACGTATAAAGTTCTTGTAGGTATTTTTCGAAGTGCGGCCTATGTTTCGTATCAAATCGTTTCCCTCCTATGAATCCTAGATAGCTCTATAAACAGAACTGCTCCTTCTCCGTACAAATTATATTGACAGAGCGGTGAGTGGGGGCTAGCAGCCTCTTACTACTCACTGTTTAGTTTGCCGCCACCCGCAGTGACAACACCCACTATTTCATATAATATTACGTAATAATCTCTTACTTCATACTTGGTTACTTAGTGGAAAATGTATTACGAGCTTTCCCTTCCCTGTATTTAGTTCTTCTTCTTTCCTCGTGATTTAGCGTTTCCTTCATTACGCGTTAGTTGCCATATAATACTTAGTGCGATTTGACCAGTATTTAGCTATTACCAGTACAATTTGACCAGTATTTATCTATAACCAGTACAATTTGACCAGTATTTAGCTATAAGTATAACCAGTACAATTTGACCAGATATGCTATGCTAGTAGTCACCGATATAGCTACCCTTTGTACCATGAAGTGTTTAAGGCTAAGATGCAAATCTAGCTCCATCGGTCTTATTGTGAGTCTACCCCTTAACCTCCACTTTACATTGTAGCATTGCTACACTTTACTTTGTAGCATTGCTACACTTTACATTGTAGCATTGCTTGATATTCTTTGTGGTGATTATATCTGTGAATGATTGATTTGAGAGAGCACAACTTAGCATTAACTCCTCTCTTGTCTCCTGACTAAAACTGACCCTTTCTCTATTTCAGAACCCTCAGCAGACTCCCCTGAACAACCAGTTCAGTCAAGTAGTGGGGGAAACATCCCGTATAGCAGAGTGGGCTAAAGGGTTCGACAAGCTTCTGGAGGACCCTGATGGGGTGGCTTACTTCCAGGACTTCCTCAAGAAGGAGTATGCGGACGAGAACATTAAGTTCTGGTTGGCTTGCAGGAAATACGAAGGAATGTCCGACCAGAAAAAGGTAAAGTTTGATATTTTTACTTAATTTTCATTATTGCGGACACATTTCGTATTGATTTTTATCATTTTGTTCAGTTCACTGAAGGATATTTTTATTTTTATGATTAGGACCCAAATTTGCCTTTCTGAGCCAACCTGCTACTTTTTTATGCCGCTGTTTTGTAGAGTTAAAGGCTAACAAAATTTTAAAATATTCTCCTTGACTATCTGTAACACTCTAAGTAAAACTCTCTGTAAGTAAGTAACACTCTTTATAACACTCCCATTCTCCACAGCGTCAAGAGGAAGCAGCCTTCATAATATCAGAGTATCTAGTATCCGGAGCTCCCAACCCTATCAATATAGACGCTAGTGGTAGGGAGGAGGTGGTTAAAAGCTGTCACCTGGCTCACCATCATCTCTTCAAACCAATGCAGAAACAGGTGCGTGTGTAATACCTACATTTGTGAGATCTATTTCCATGGTTACTAATTTAATGTTGAGTAGTCGAAACTGGAAGTTGTTAGTTTCGCTTTTGGTCTGGGAACCTGTAGAGTGTAGAGTCTAGTTATTAACATTGTATATCATAATGGCAGTTTGGGACTGGTAGAGTCTAGTTAATTACATAACACAACATAATGGCAGTTGGGGACTTAGTATCCGCGTAAGGCTTCGGTATTTAGATTATCTGTTGTAGACCATAATGTGGACCCGTACTACAGTTGACACTTACCAACTTATAGACCTAACATCTATTAATAGTTCCCAAATATCCATGTTTGCCTGTTGTTTATCTCGGGAATGCAGCATGGCTCCTAAGTGGTGTGCATTTTACGGATATTTCTTGGCAAAATATCTCTAATCTCCTCTCTCTCCCAGATCTACAATCTGATGATGTACGGGAAGTACTGGCAGTTTACCAGAAGTGATGACTATCTGAACCTCCTGGAGCAGGAGAAACTGGGCAAGTCGCCAATATTCAAGCACATCACCAGCCCCAAGGATGGGAAAAGGAAGAATGCGATCAACGAGAACGCGCATAATAGCCGCAACCGGAAATTTTTCAGCTTCTTCGGGATAAGAAAACGTGAGTACATGGTTACAGTTACTATGGTTATCAACCTCTTAGTGATTTGAATTTTATTTGCTATCGGAATTTAGGATCGGTATTTGGATTTACACCTGTTATCATTAAAAGGAATTACTCAAATGATTTGACCATAATCGCACCGCCTCGAGACCTTTCCAGTGCAATGATTTAACGAAATTAGTAATTTTTGTGATTGCAGTGCCCTGCAGAGCCATGCAGAGTGGCTCCTAAAATAATGCTCGACTTATTAATCAGATCATCATTAATTGTGGAGCTTCCCCATTCCATAATACTTTAGTGCTAGGGTACTACTGCTACTTGACAGTTTATCATGAAATGCCATTTTATTCCGACACGTAGACCCGGCAGCCCTACTACCGAGCTTACAACATAGTATTAAGATCATCTCTATGGATACAACTTCAAAACATGATTATGAAAGAACTGATTTAAATATCTTAGTAAATACTCGTACATATCTGTTAAAGTAGACTCAACTCTATGATGAGCGTTAGCTGACGTGGAGTATAAGATTGACATGTCAGTAATATTTATCTTTAATCTTGAGTCCCCAACCCTATTATATAGTTCACCTCAAATAACACTATTCCAACCCCAGGTGAAGAAACAGAAGTGATCCAGAGTAACAAACACAACAACCACATAAACAACAACAACAACAGCAACAACAACAACAACAAGACCCATCACCATAACAACAACCACCATAACAACAACCATCACCACCACCACCCGGTTACCAAGCACCAGGTGTTGTTGGAGATGCCCAACTGTACCCTGAGGAGAGCTTACTACAACGGTCAGGAGAGTGTTAAGTCTTGTGTGGAGCGAGCCCTCGTTAACACTGGTTAGTAGTGTTACTCATGTTAGGGAGGCAATGTGTATTGTCAGGAGATATTATCCCTGAAATGATTTAGTGTGAAAATGTGAAGAAAAAAGTGTCTTCCTGCTGGACATCAACATTCGATTGAGATTAACTTGGTTCATTATTAAATATGGTTAGTAGACAAGGACTAATGTATGTTGCTATTTTAACTCTTAAAACCCCAGGAGTGAATCTGAATTGTTACCACATCTGCATGAAGAAGACGGGAGAAGTTATCGACATTCAGCGACCTGTTAACCAGTTCTCCAACATGACTCTCAGTTTCCTGAACACTCCTACTTTTCAGTAAGTACCTGATCTTTTGCCAGGAGTTACTCCTTTGCTATTACACATCAGCTCTACTCAGAAGAATTATTCATATCTGTCCGAAATTAGGTCATCGTGTTCATGTTGGTGATAATACGATATCAAATTTGCTGAGACTTAACAAATGTTATAACTAAAGGAGAATTGATGCCATGATGATTATGATATTTTTCTTGGAGATGGATGTAGTCTAGATAAGTCATTTTTCCACCTTTGTTCTACCAATGTTCAAGTTGAAGCCGTGAATCATCAAGTAGACAGAGGACAATAACTCGATTGAGCACTCCATTTCAAGAATATCCAAACTGCACTATTTGTGATTTTGACACACTGTCTTTCCACTCCTAAGTTTCTATTTAAAACACAAGTGTAACTTGTAAACTTGGAGTGTACTAATTCTAGTGTCCAGCTCTGGATTAGTTTGGAAGAGTATTTGAACTCTGAGCTGTTGATGTAATGTCGAGACTAAATGTACTGTATAAGGACTGGATTTGAGGTAAAAGCATGATCTAGCTCTGAGGTTTATGTTACAGTGGTCATGTTTTACAAGAATCAGTGTTGCTATGGTTTCAGCTGCGCAGTTAGTGCGGAGTCGACATCTCGGTGGCTCCGCCAGTCTATCTGTCCTTTAGGTCACGCTTGCAAATATCAGTTAGGAAGTTAGGAATTATCTCATTATGGTAGAGGCGCTAACATTAAATCCGCGGACTATCACTTACGTCTGCGTGCCGAATACACTATTTTAAACTATTACCGAACATACTATTACACTGTTCATACTTAACAGGGCAGGGGTTATACTTCTCCACTCAAAAACTTTAAAGCTCTTAAAGTTCCGATCAGAGTTTTGAACTGTAAGTTTAAAATGTTGCAAGCGATTAACTGTGACTTTGTTTCAGGATCTCAATGTCTAACAACAAGAAGTTCAAGTTCTGCACGTCCCACGGGAAGACTTTGAAAGACATTTGTAAGAGCGTACTCAGTGAAAACAGCATCGATCTTAGATCTATCATCTTATTTGAGGTAAACACAATTATTTGTGCATCTAGGGTAAAAATAAAACTGGCAGTTGATTGATTATTCTTCAGTCATAATTTATCTCCCCCCAACGGCCACCACCACATTTACGAAACCCCCCCCCCCCCCCCCCATCTCTCTGCTCTGACCCCCCCCCCCCCCTCCATCTCTCTGCTCTGACCCCCCCTCCATCTCTCTGCTCTGACCCCCCCCCTCTATCTCTCTGCTCTGACCCCCCTCCATCTCTCTGCTCTGACCCCCCTCCATCTCTCTGCTCTGACCCCCCCCCCATCTCTCTGCTCTGACCCCCCCTCCATCTCTCTGCTCTGACCCCCCCCCTCCATCTCTCTGCTCTGACCCCCCTCCATCTCTCTGCTCTGACCCCCCTCCATCTCTCTGCTCTGACCCCCCCATCTCTCTGCTCTGACCCCCCCCATCTCTCTGCTCTGACCCCCCATCTCTCTGCTCTGGCCCCCCACCTCTCTGCTCTGACCCCCCCTCCCATCTCTCTGCTCTGATTCCCCCCCCCCCCCCCCTGCCTCGCAAACTCACCCCTCCCCCCTTACAGCGAGACAGCAGAAGTTACGTCAGACTTGACACTCAGAGCATCCTGGTAGCCAACAAGAACCTAGAAGTGAGGGATATCTCCCAGAGATCTACTTCTGTTCCCAGATTGGGCATGAGGAAGGTACCCAGCAAGAGCAATGTCAGGCGCAGGTATGTCTCCTTATGCTTAGCTTGAATTTTGTGAAGATTTAGAATTAAGATGGTCCTAGAATCTTCTTTAATTTCATGATTTAAGTTGAGACCAGGAATTGCAGATCCGCTTTTTGTGGGTGAAGATTGTAACAATATCTTGTTACAGCGTGGAAGTAAAAAACCCTCGTTGCAGTGTGACGGTAGGCTGCAGTGGAAGTCTGGAGAGTAACCTGGATCTGCTGAGCAGTGTTATGGAGAGCTCAGACGATGACGCCACCGACTTTAACGCTAACGGTGGTCAGCTCGTCAGATCTCAATCTGAACTAGGTAATTCAGTGATACATTAATTTGTTTTAAACTTGTAGTTACTGGATTATGTAAATGTTTTATAAGTTTCGTGAAGAAAAACAGAGGTATGAATAAAGTATTTCACTGACAACTTAACAAAACCAACTAATTCTGCCATCCGTACTTTCATCAGAGAATATTTTGAAAACCCCATATAATTGTTCAGGACAATCACCAAATTACTTATATATATTTTAATAATAACGGCTGAGTATCTAAAGTTTGTATAAATTAACGGCTGTTTTATTTCAGAGTTTTTCGAGTTGCTGAACAGAGTCCAGTGTGACAGACTTGACAATCAGCGCTGCTCTCATCCTACTGTATTGAAGAACTTGTCCCTGGGAAGACGCAACGACTCAGTCAAGGTTTCATTAGACCTTATTTAGTGTTCTTCTACCAGCCTGCTAATAACCTTCTCGTAATGATCAAACCTTTCAAATAATATCACCAGCTTTCATTTGAATATGCATGTTACATGCACTGGCTGTTTCCAATATTTAACTTATATAAAACTTACACTTACTTTCCTCAGACCTCAAAGAAGGGATTTCCGAGCCGTAAAACCAGCAAGACAGACTCTCCCTCGCCCAGCAACGTGACTCCCCCACCTAGCTGTCCGGAGCAAGTGTCGCCTCAGAACCCGGATATCCGGAGTCCCTCCGAACCCTCACTCTCAACCAAACATTCCGTTTCCAGTCATAGTCCTGGAAGGGGTGACTCCGAGGAAGATATTGATTACTGCTGAACTACTCTCGTCATCACGTGATATCTCGTCTTATACTGTGTGTGTCGTCACGCTGAAAATCACGCGTTACTTATGTGACGTCACGCTGAAAATCCCGCGTTACTTATGTGACGTCACGCTGAAAATAATGCGATTATTGTCGCAGATTCAGGATAACGTATTGATCACGTAAAAGCGAATCCATAGAGACCAGACAATATTATTTTGTACAGAGGAAGATATCACAAGTAATGCGATACGTCTTATCAAACTGTTAGTGATCGCAAGGGTTCGTGACGGTATCATTCATGTCACTACTTGTGACCTCAGTACGTGTAGTATCTATAAAACTTTAGGATCAGGACATCTTCATTCCAAGTTCCGATGATCTTTGACAGTGAGCTTACAGTTACTCATTTTGGTCGACTAGAAGAAAATGCGTCAGCGTTTCTTTGTAACGCAGACAAGCGTTAGTTAAGTAAACTTTACAACCATTTCTGTTGTGATAATTGCTTTGTGGAAACTCTTGAACAATTTAATTAGCTAACCTCTGTTAATTGAGCGGCTAATTAATTAGAAGTTGAACTAATTAAAATAATTAGTCTTTAATTAATTCGATATTTGTGTTTAACAAGAGACTCGTTCCCTCTTAAATTTAACGTATTTGTTTATAATTATATCAACTGAATATAGTTTGTTGAATTTCAAGGTAAATGCCGCCTGGCCAGTATAATTATTAATTTTAAATAAAGAAGAATAAAAAAGAAATTCGATACTTATCACTTTATCAATCATACTTTTTCCCGACATCATGATAAATTTGTACAATAAAATGTATAGCTTGTACGATCGTTTTTATCATGAAAAAACTCAAGGATGTAAAAAATGTCTAGTAAATTATTTAAAATTTGTTAAAAACAGTAAATTATTTTCAGCCTTTTCATTTACTTCATGTCGCTTATTTGTATTCTTATTCAGTGTAATGTTAAATATTTCATTCAAGTATTTGACTTTCATGGATAACTGAATAAATTGTTTTCATCATTTCTTTGATTATAACAATCTAATTGTAGTTTCTGAATTATATTAAAGTTTTGTTAAGATCATGAAGAAAAACAACGGTATGACGGAATAAAATACAATCATATTTCTGACTAAAGTATTTCACCGTCAACTGAAAACCAAACCAACTAATTCTGCCACCCGTACTTTGTTAAACTGAGGTGGGCTAAGTAGTGGCAAACCAGTTGTTGTGGCTCAGTCTCCGTTATCTTAGAGATCTGTGGGCTTCTCTCGAATTCCATGGATGTAGCAGGGAAGGGATTCCATCCATGTTCCACATACCTGCTCCATGCCAAGTTCTTCAACATACTATGCAGGTGCGCTGCAAACTGATGCTCGGTCGGAGTCAGTGGTTTTATTATAGTTTTGTAAAGTCCAAATAGGAACCATGCATCATACCCGTGACTTGCTCTCAAACCTTCAGAGTGATGTGTAATGTACAGTCTGTATACTTCATGGTTCCGGCTGAGGGACATGGCTCCGACTACTTCGTTAGTGGGACATGTAGCCCGCATATCAGTGATAAGAAGACTGTAGGCATCTTTAGCCATTTTCCCAGGATAGAACTGCTTGTACACCATGTTGGGTATATCATTTCTGTGTGTAAGCTTTAGTAAGTTGGCTGTCATATGTATATGAGCGTCGTGGTGAGTCGGGAAATCCTTGACAGTTAGCCAATTTTCTTCGGCGGTATTGGACACTATAATTTTAATAGGTGACTTCGGAGCGAATGTAGCATCTTTCAGGTTTCTTGGCGATACTGTAACTACTACAGGATCAATCATGATGTACCCAAAAGCTTCACCTTTAACACCATGAATCATTGGGAAACTGAAATAAGCAGACCCTTGAGCACCTTGTTTGGGAGTGTTAAACCTATTAGCATCTAGGTGCATCAAGCAGTGTTTCCGTGCCGCAGGGCTGGGCTGATTACACCCCAGGTAGTTGGAAACATAGTCTCGCTGAAAGAGGTCCCCTACAACGTGCGAGGCTCTCATCTCAGGTGCCGGACTCATGGAGACAGCTGCATGGAACTTGTTGTTGGCCATAGGAGAGCAAGTAAGGGCCAGAACGGAGGTGCCTCCCGCGCTCGTCCCAGCAATGGTGACGGAGTTCGGATCTCCTCCAAAGGCAGCTATGTTCTCTTGTACCCAATCCAGAGCTGCGACCATATCTCTGATACCATTGTTAGCGTACACTCCTGCACGCTCATCCCACAACTCACTTACAGAGCTGAACCCCAGGAACCCAAGTCGGTAATTAATGTTGACTGTTACAGCGTCTACTTGGTGGGTGGTCTCCGAGTCAAAAGAGTACCCTGGCATATTCCCAGAGCCTGACATAAGAGCTCCACCGTGAATCCAAACAATAACGGGTCGGGAGCCTTGTAGGTCGGGAGATCGTACGTGCAAGAAGAGACAATCCTCAGTTCCGTTACCATGACCATCCACACAGGACATGTAGGTGTCATCAGTTGCCATCACCTTGGTGGACTTAGGGACTGTGTGCCGCTGTGGCGGTCTAAATCTTAGGTTCCCTGTTGGAGCTTTCCCGTAGCGTATCTTGTGGAACTCGTGTATTTGCGTTGTTCCATCTTCCAACGTTACTGTCCTGCCTTGGATAATGCCAGCAGTGTTCGTCACAACCTGAGGAGCTTCTTGTTGGGCATCACATAATTTACAAGTTGCAGGACATTCGTAGTTAGCAACAGGGTTGTGGAGGCAATGTCCATGAGCCAGGAAGTTAGTACACCCTACTACACTGGGCTTGTCCTGACACTCACAGAACCCACAGGTCGCCTTGCAGTTGTTAGGCATGGTGAGGTCAGTGAGACATTGTCCATGACGTTTGAACCCAACACAAGCATCCTTCTGCAAGGCATCCGTACACGTGCATATCCCACAAGTTAGCGGACAAACGTTTCTGAAATTTGCATCATTACAAAGTCCCTGGGTACCCTTCAAAGGACAAGAGACGTGTAAATCCTGACACACGTGACCTTGGGCTGAAGCTATGAGAACAAATATGATCGTTAAGAATACCAACATGTTCAAATAATAATGGGTCTGTAGATGATTTTCAATTTTATAGTTTTTATGTCGCCAGGTGTTTCGTATGCCATGCTGGGTAGGTTAGTGGCAATCAAATGGGATAGAGTAAAAGTTGTATTGTTCCTCCATTTCCAACAAAAGATTTGAGAAATAGAGTAAAAAGAAGTACGGTTAACAGTTAATGTGAGGTAGTATCTCCTGTTAGGTCTCCGTCAGGTGTGAAGGAATGTGAAATGATTCGTTTATCTTAATCTCTCTGATCGTGAACTAAAAAGTAATTGGTTTAACAGTTCAGGTCTGTTGGTTCCCTAAAGATGCTCTGCAGGGTGGTGGTCATTGCTCTTTGTTTAATAGTTTGAGTCCGTAACTTTTCCTTCACCAGATGCTACTATATTGTTCGACAGTTTTGTTCAACATTTTAAGGAGAAGGCACTAATAATATAATATAAAGCCCCTTTCCCTTCGTATTTTTTTGAAATGAGCGAATGAAAAATGGGTCACAATCTCGCCATTATTGATTCCAGAAAGTATTATTATACGTTATAACAGCAATGCATTAAATTCCGTAATTAGTGCATACTGGATATAAAGTGAAACCTACACCATACAACTTTGACCTTGGGACAGACGTTCGTCGTGTGAATCTCGTTTAAAAAAATATATACAATGTATAATTATGGGTGCGGTGGTCGGTCGTGCATGGAATGAATGTGTTGGTAAAATTTAAGTGCAAGTAGTAGTACATAGTACTATAATAATAATATATAGTATTATATTAGATGTCAATCCAAATTACTGTTAACATTCTAGCATAATTGCAACTTTGCAGTTTTCAGGAATCATATCTTATATTCGAGATTAGGGTATGGCTATGAGGTAGGATCACAGACGCAAACACAACTACAGTATACAATGGCACGTTTGCCTCACCGCATGATAACGGGCCATTTACTTAGGACAACGTCCGCCAAAATATCAAATTTTCATACCACCCCCTCCCTTGTTATATATAATACGTTGTATGACCCGCCGTATCATTGCAGGACCTAGTGAAACGACCGTGGGTGTCACAACGTGATACAACTCCTCCCCCTGTCCGGATGTGTCCGAATTTTCAAAACCACCCCCTCCCCCGGACGTCAGGATTTCCAGCTACTTTTAAAAGTACAATTAAAACCAACTAGTTTCATTGAATAATTAGTTCACATAGCCATGTGTTGTAGCGCGATGCACTACTGGGTCGCGCGCGCATCAAATAATGCTTCTCGCAACCACAGATCTGAGATCGGCGAGATGCGAAGGATTGACATCGTGAATCAAAGCCATGTGTATACGCGTACTGCGTGACGCGCTTGTTTCGCGCGCTACTGCAAGCGAGAGGGAGCTCTGGTTAGAGCAAAGTAATTAGTGTCAAAGAGTTGAAATTAATGGAAATTTTTTGTTAATTCTGCCAAAATTTCCTTGTAGGTTTATAACCTACCAGGACGCGCGCCAAGTTGCGAGAAGCATTATTGGATGCGCGCGCGCGACCCAGTAGTGCATCGCGCTACAAGACTCGTCGACGGTCCTGTATAGTGTATATGTAATAAAATATATGGAACAGATATTTTACGAGTATCACCCGTTAAAAATTTCCGGACGTCCGGATTTTCAGAAACCACCCCTCCTTTTGACGGATGTTACTCGTCTAAATTTCGTCGAAGTAGCGCGCGCCGCTTTCTTCTCGATGGCACGTGCTACGAAGTAGCGCGCGCCGGGCCAAATCATTAACAATGGTCAACCCTCCCTCTGTCAAACGTCCTAAGTTAAATTTAATTGGAGGACTTTGCCGCTTCGACATGGAATTGAAGGGTTGACATCGTCAATCAAGTCCTAAGTGCTAAGTAGATGGCCACGTTATCCAGATTGGTAGTCTCTTTGCTCTTGCTCTGTTCCCTTTGCTAGAAGCTCGAAAAAAGCGCCGCGCATTGTATTGGGATAGGCGCGCCTGGTAAGAATAAAATAACACGCGGTGAGGCACACTACGACTTCTACTTCTAGTTCTATACACTATAAGTATACAGGGTGTGTAGTGTGTACGATGTTTATTCTTACCGCCAGTGTTGGGCCGCACCAATAAAGATAATCCCACTCTACCGTACTGAAGAAGACGCGACTCAATGACTCAGCTCAGACAAGGTTTCATTATACCTTATTTAGCGTTTTTCTACCTAACCAGCCTGTTAATATCCTTGACGAGATGAGCAAACCTTTAAAATCATATTACTGCAGGTTTAACTTGATATAAATTTTCACATATTACGTAATCAGCCGAGGGGGGTTTCCAAATGATTACGCTAGCGTAGGAAGCCCACAGCAGAAAGCTTTTAACAAAACCAAAAACGAAAAGTTGTATTTTCAAAAATTTGTCCCATTTTCAAATATGAAATTTTCTGAACAAAAATTTGACAGATTGGATGACATTTTTTCCCAGAAACCAATTAGTCAGTATGAAACCAAATTGGGGTACTGGAAGTTAAAATCCCGAATCACGAATAAAATTGTAAAATCATATAATTGTCCCAATCTGTCCTATTTTCAGTTTCTGAAGATGAAATTTCCAGGAACGAAATTTTACAGTTTTGACTGAATTTCTCACCCATAACCAATTAGTAAGTCAACCATAGGTGGCATATGACACTATTGAGGTGCTGGAAGTTTGATTTCGGTCGTTGGACGCCCACAGCAGAAAGCTTAAAACAAAACGAAAAATTTTCCAATTTTTGTCCCATTTTCAAATTTATGGTATTTTCTGAACACAAATAGAATTTTGCCCAGTGACCAATTAGTCAGTTGACTGAGAATGGTATGAGACCAAATCGAGGTACTGGAAGTCTAAATCCCGAAGAGAATGGTAAAATCGCATTATTGCTTAAGTCTAACCTAGGGAAAATCAATGTCATTATTACTATGGATGCAAGGACTGTCTGGAATTCTGCGAAGAAAAAGCTGGCACCGTCCGATCAGGTGAGCATACATGATATAGTAATTCTGTAATTCTAGTTAGCAAACCTAACCAGCCGAAACTGACCCCCCCACCATTGACCATCCGACAATTGACCCCCGACAATATAATTTAATACAATTAACCCTAACCCTAACCCGATCAATTGACCCCTGTGTAATTACATGAGTGGTCAATTGTCGGGGGGTCAATTGTTGTACTGAACCCTAGATTTCGCGACAATTGACCCCAGTGTAATAACATAGGGGTCAATTGTCGCGTCGGGGGGTTAATTGTCGGGGGGTCAATTGTCGGGGGTCAATTGTCGGGGGGTCAATTGTCGGTGGTCAATTGTCGGGGGGTCAATTGTCGGGGGTCAATTGTCGGGGGGTCAATTGTCGGGGGTCAATTGTCGCGGTACCCCAAAACTATAGTATAAAACAGCACTTCGACTTAAGGGTTGGATCCCTGTACCTGTCCCTCTCTTTTTGCAGAAATACTTAAAGTAACGTACAAATTGATTACAATTGTTTCGTAAAACTAAAAGATTAAAAAGATAATAAATTAAATGCACTCAATTACATAAAAAGTTAAAATAGACCCCGGCTACAATTGTAAAAAGTGAATCTATCTGTCAAATATCAGTTCTCGAGGCTTGGGTTGTCTCCTATGATAGGGTTTGTGAAGTAGCTTGAATATTCCCGTTCCAATGTTCATAGGGAGTCCCATTATGATGCACTCAGACACTCCGCTGATCTGAATTAGAATTGTGTTAGGTATTTAGTTGAATGCCTAGTTTATTAAATAATTAATTAGGGTACCTAACCAATGATAATATTACTTTACTGCTTAAAAACACGAAAATTTTACGAAAATTTATCCTTCGTTGAAACCAAATTCAGCCCGCATTATTGAGTTGAATACTCGGTTGTAGAAAAGGGATATGCACTGCACTCTGCAGCTATAATAGACGTCAAAAGTGAACCTTCAAGAGAATGCGACCCAATAGAAATCGTATATTGTTTTGATTGTGTAATCCTGCATGTGCTGTTTAAGAATATAATATCGTGACTTGAAAGTCATGTTTATATCAGTATAACTATAAGCAACATTTATTTGGACCTTTGGTAAACAATGAAACATACTCTTGAGCTATAAAGTAAAACAAATAATTTTAAAATCAAAAAGTTATTCTTCTTCTTTAACATTCTCCAAACTGTTCATTCCTCCCATTTGTAGAAGGCCTCAGGAGCGTGAGTAGATTCTTTAGTGTGAAGTTGAAACACCACACTAATGAACCTTACGTTACACCTGCCCCGGCTACTGGAACCAAACTTCTGGACAAAGGACCCAACACGAACCTCGTATCTATCAGACAACTGCTCGTACTCGTACTGCCGGTACCCTTGAGAGTCACAATCACCTCGCTGACTGTCTGAGAACTGGTTGCCAAAGTAGCGATCTCCGCCGAACCAGGCCTGGTTTCCAGCTCCCTTACAGAAAAGGTTGAACTTATTGTGATTCAGACCATCTACAATCAGCTCGATGTGACCTGTTTGACCATTGTTGTAGGTGTACAGCTTGATCCTCTCGGAAGCGTCCTTAAGTAAGCATTTCACCTTCAGCCTAAGTTTCTTAAAAGAAGACGGTGCTTTCACATTTGCGAAGTTGGTAACTTTTGTCCAAGGGTTTTTTATTTTTTTGAGTGTTGGGTATTTAACATAATTCGCTATCTTGCAAATACTTGGCTTCTCGCGTGCCATACGTACGTATCCTTCCTCGCCCCATCCTGATCCCCAACTGTTCTTAACCTTCCAGAATCCGGCTTCATATCCCACCACCGTTACAGCGTGATTAACTCCCTTGGGAGTGTTGCAACCATCATACGAGCCGTGTTTATAGCTGAATAAGTCATCCTCTACTGTTATAGCGACTGCAGGTACATACTGAGCAGTAGCTGCAGCTAAGTTATTATCACCGGACACACTTCCGTATCCCAGGTATTGAACGTCATATGCTCCGTTTCTCTTGCCAGAGTAATTGCATGCTCCATCCTTGCCTTTGTAAGGGATCTCACTCAGAAGACCCAATCGTCCTGTATTCTGAATGTAACCCCATGCTTGCTGATACCACCCACCTTTGCATCCATCCCTAGGATCTGAGTAGGTACAATCGAGAAGCTCCTGCTCAGCAAATGTCTTCAGATTCTTTGTTGCGATGGCATAGGAACCTTCGAATGAAGCAGCTGCAGCAAAAGCCCAACATGATTTACATGACCCACATCCGCCTTGGTTCTTTACATTGGTCACGTGATTTAGTGACGTGTGGTCGATGGAGGCAGGGGCAGCTGTTAGAGCAGAGAAGGGTGCTTCTGAAACGGGCAAGTTGAGGATCTCAGTTACATTTCCTAGTCCTAGGAACTGCTTTCTTTCAGCGTCAGTCAGCGCAGTAAACTCATTTACACCAGCCTCCCACGTCTTGTCAGGAAGAGAATTGTGAGCCTCTATCTCCTTGGCATGCAGCCGGAACAGACCTAGACGGAGCTTCAACTCAGGTCCAGAATATTTGGAGGTGAGGAAATTAGGAAAGCCTCCCGAGGGGGCAGAAAGAGCCACACCCACTAATGCTATGAGCAGAAAAGTCATGGTTCTTCGAAAAGTGTGAGTATGAACGCTTTGGAGGGGATACTTATACGTCTGTGACACCTGCCACGGTAAAATTTCGCGACTTTGTTGCTGGGGTCTCTCGAACCTGTCCTTTGTTTTGAAGAATTAGAACAAAAGTTTATGAATCAACACGTCTAGTGCCAATTTTCTGTAAAACCAACACTTGATTTATGAGAAAAAACATGGGATTATAACTATGTTTATAAGATTATAGCTCACAGTAAATATTCTCCGTAATTTCCAGTCCTTTAATAAAATTCACTGAACTATTCAGCGCATAAAGGTGTTTATTCAGCTACTAATTACAACGTAGAGTTTGTAAGAGAATTACAACTCCGAATTAAGGTACAAGACTTAACTCTCTTAACTGCAAGAATACAGCTGGTCTGCTGTAGTAAGACGGTGAACAATGAACCTGGCCCATAACTAAGGCAGCCTCCTTTTAATTTCTTTCCACAAGAGGTCTTTAACTGCTCGATGAATACACAGTGAAAATATGGCCGTATTCTTAATAAACATATGTTTTGAGGCGTAAAAAAAACTGAATTAAAGAAACGAGAAAAATGAATAGTGACCACAAAATGCATATTTGTGGCTGAAATTTCCCCAGAGATTTCACAGATTTATCAATCTATGAAATCTCTGGGGAAATTTGGATTTCAATAAATTCAAAATTCGAGGGCGTCGCCCGAGAGCCACATCTGTGCCATATTCGTGGCCATCAGAATTTATAGTACACAAGATGAAAAGGTGAAGCAAAGTACAATCATAGGAGCATCACTCCTAGATTATGTACGGGCAGTTTCGATAGTGGATCACTTTTAGAGTTTAAAGTACCATTTTTACACTCTGAGGAGCATCCGGCAGGCGGCATCGTACTGCAGTTTAGGAGTTAATGCCCAGCTAGCTTTTAGTGTTATAGTTATATCATGTTCAGACTAGTAAGCTTTTGTGATCTCAGATCTGCGTTCACCAAGCTGGCAGATAGATCAATGAGAAAACGTATACCAGCTCTTTTTAATATGTTTTTGGGCAGCGCACGCTGTAGCTTTGATAGCTTACTTTCAAGCTACGCGCGTTTGTTACGTGCGCGTTATAAAATCAATAGCACTCATTGCTTTAATTAATTGGAAAACGCCGCGGCGTACAAAAACAAAAACGATTGACAGTGACCGGCTCTTACCTTGTCGTTTAGGCCGTGGTAGGAGGCATCAAACAGGTGATCAGTGGTAGCTTCAAAGGACGCCAAATGTAGTACACTCTCCTTCATCTTATCAAGACCAAAACGAGTATTACCGAGCACCTGAAACATTAGTCAATCAGATCTATTAATCTCTAAAATAGCATTTTTCTCCAGGGCGCCGAATAATACAGCAAAATAAGAGAAAGAAATTGGAAAACATCAAAAGCGCAGATGCACGCACGTTTTACACAGTTTCCATAGAGACTCATCCCCGCACTTACCGTTTGCACGTGCATTCTACAAATAATACGTTCTACATTATCTTTTGTACCTAATCATAATGACAAACAATGTCAGGGGATCCTAGTTTGTCATTAGTGGTTGAAGCTAAGAAATGCAAGTACACGCTCATCCCCAAGAAGGTAACCTGCGATGAAGTTCTCCAAATTTGGATCACGGCCTCCCACTTCATCATAAGACGGTTAATCGATCGAAAAGCTGTTAACCTCCCGGGAATTGGGCTTTTTTCCGTTCTCAGAAAGAAAATAGACGTCGGAAATAATGGAAAGCTATGGGTTCACCGACCTATCTTTATATTGTCGGAGAAGTTCGCCCAAACACACCGTGTTACCTACACCAAATACCAGTCAGCCGGTGAAATACCAGTAATACAACTGAATTATGCGATGCTAGCGATAGAGGCAGGCTTTGAAAGGGATTTGGTTGAAGTTTGTATAAAGGAGATGATTGGGGCTTTCGCGAGGACCGTCAGTTCAAGCAGAAAAGGAGAGTTGACCTTCAGAGATGTGGGAAAACTCGTTATCAAGGATGGTAAAGCGAAGATGAAATTCCATACGGATTTCTTGAAAGCAATAGGAGGATCACGTCCCATCAGCTTGAGTCCACTGCCACTTGGTCGGCCTCGGACCTCGGATACGTTTATTTCACGAGATTCTGTTATGACCGACTCTTCATCGGGCTCTTTTAAATTGGTGCTCCCCAAAATTGCAACCAATGAAGGAGAATATGATAGACCAGTGTCAGTGATTAGCAATCATGATGGTCGATTACTTTTGTCACCTCTAGATGTCTTGCCAGAAGAGGATAACCTGGTTTGTCGATTGATTTCATACTTACTATGATTGTACTTTCATGCCACAGAAATTAATACTCGAGTGATCGTTACATCATCTATTTTCGAACCGTTAAAACAAATAATCACAGGAGATCCCCACGGACGTAGAGATAGATGAAATGACGGGAAATATGTGTCATCATGCAACACAAGAAGATCACTTAGACGGTAATTCGTATATTAACCAGTCAGGCTCTGAAATTCTGCTAGCACCTGTGTCCAGCGTTAATGTTGCTTCACCACTTCACAAATGTGGTGAGAACAAAAGAGTCAAAACAGATCTCAAACCCTCTAATTTAATATGCCGAAATACGAAAGAGGAAGCCAAGGACGGAATTGTTCCTGAAAAAAGCGTGCACTTTCATGAAGATGCCGAGAGAAATTTGAATGCAGAACAAGTTAAATGCGATTGTAATCACCAATGCGGTCAAGAGTTGTGTTACTTGTGTCATCAGAGGCAACGGCGAAACATTCCTATCACTTTTGAGACTGAAAAGGTTCGATAAACACTAGCATATATTCATAACACATGCATGGCAAGCTTAAATTCTCGCTTAATGCTTGCAGGTTATTTGAAGCTTTGATAGAAATCATGTGCACGAATATGGCATGATACAAATTTCATTTCAGAAGAGAGACGAGCAGGAGCAAGACCGTGTTTTACAGAAGTATCAGCAACTCAAGGACCAGAAGTTTAACGAGAAAGAGAACAAACACCTACAATACGAGCGTCAACTGAGCAGAGAAGTCGCTCAATTCAATTTAACCGCATCAGAAACTTTAAAATCCGAGCAAGCTCTCCCGAAAAAGTTTCACCACTCCTACATCTTCCTGAACCGGAGCGACTCACCTTATTGGTACAAGCTGCGTGATCAGTACAGCGAGTCTCTGGGAGAGCAGCTGTGCAACAAAACGGAACGTCTCAGGAAACTAAAAGATGAAACAGACAGACTGGAACAAGAAGAGCAGAGATATCTGGCCGCGGAGTTGGCAGCGACAAGAAAACAACAGCTCATGAACAAAGCCTTGTCCACTAAAAAGTACGAATCTGCTCTTCATACCCAGATTATGAACAAACCATTTCAACTTCCAAAAGCGCTGCCCGATTCAGATGGATCTGTTTTTGGTAAACTTGACACGACAAAAGAGAAATTAGCGGCTAAGAGAAACAGAGCAAAAGACGTGCTAAACCATCAGCTAAAAACCACAAAGGAGAAAAAGGAGAAATCACGGTTGACGAAGGAGCAGAATAGGAAACACGAAATGGATGTATTGAACAGAACGACAAAGGAGCTCCGAGAGGAAACCTGTAGGCGTCACGTGATAACCAAAGGAGTTAGAAATTCGCTTGAAAGGAGCTGGACCAGCCAACACACGGAGAAGAAAAGACAGGATAAACTGGATAAAAAACATCAGATGACGGCTGGTTTGCTACTGCTAGATCAGTGTAAGAAGTATAAGAGATGTGACCAGTGTCAGAGGAACTGTGAGAATATTGGAGTAACTAATGTGTGGCCAGAGAGCCGATATCTATCCGGATCCAGACTCATGATTTGATTTTAAGATGCAAAAACTCGTCTTTGATATATTTTGGTTTTTATGATAATTCTAGAAATAAATGCTTTAAAATTGATTCTAATTACAATGAGTTTACCAACCTGCCCGACGTAAGTCATGATGTCACTGAGCAAGTTGACGTGTCGAATGTCAATGCTCATTCCGTGACTATTCATCGTGTACACGATCTCCGATATGATTACTGAGCGAGCTGCCTCAATTCCTAGTGTCTTGGCAACCTGATAAGAAATAGACGATCATTATTTTAATAGCTCCAACTCAAAGCAATTCCGTCTCAGTGAAATTGTTATAAACTCGTTCATCATGAAAGCCGGAGCCGGTGTCTTAAACAATCATTCCTGTTTCGTGAAGCTCGAGCTCAACAAAGCCCGTTGTCTTCGCTAGCTCAAACTCACGACAAACAAAATATTGGGATGCACAAAATATTGAGATGCACACATTTTTGTCATCTCACCAACTTCTAATCATGTAACATTCCCATACCTCGAGTATGTGATTACTGGTAGTTTTCTTCCAGTCGACCCCACGTGTCACCATCACTTCGTTCAAACTCCTGCTCTCTACTAACAACTTGTACGTGTTATCTGTTGCTTCCTGGGACACACTTTATTTAGTGAGACGGCAAACTGGGTCACACTTGGGACAGACAGGGTCACACTTAATTTAGTGAAACGATAAACTGGGACAGACTTAATTTAATGAAACGGTTAACTGGGTCACACTTTATTAAGTGAAACGGTAAATTAGGGTTCACAATTCTAGTATCTAGAAGATAATAAGATTACCAGTTTCTTCAAAACAATCATAACCAAGTTGACAAAGAAAATAATGGCGTCTGTATCGATTAACAAAGACAGCCTTGATAAATTACAAATTCCAAATAGCAAACTTAAGCATGATATCATACAGTGAGCAGCACATGATTATATTCAATTATGATTCGATATGCTTATGAATAATAGGCTTGAACATTATTCCTTTGATTCAGTAACAATTTTCGATTCACCGCGCCCGTGTAAAATGTAATAATTACGTTTAAATATTTTCGACTATAAAGTAGCTGCTCGTTATTTCATATAGTATCAATTGTCCTGTGATACAAAGATTAAGCGCAACATTCAACAAAATCAAGTGCATAATTACTTTTCGTCTTGCTTTCATTCCCCGTATATCTAGGCTTCACTTAACCTTGTAAATTTATACCTTGTGAATAATAGCGCGATTGACTGTAGGGATTCCTTTGACTACGATGGCGGGCAGTATCTTCTTTATTTGCTGTATAAGAGAGTAGAGTGTTTCTGTTGATTGCTTTGTTTTGTTTTTAGTACCGCCAGAGGGTGGGTACACCTGAAAAACGGGTTATTTACTGATTTGTTACAGTGATGGCTCCAATTTCTGGAAATTAACTAAATAATAATAAAATTTGTGATAAACCGTCCTGACGAAGGATTACTCCAATCTCAGAACGGAACTCACCGCAAGACTAGTAGCGTTGTTAATCCTAACATCAGACGAAGTCAACTTCACTTTGCTGTTCTTGATGATACTCTTCATAACGGTGTGAGCGGTTATCTCCAGCTTTAACATCCGTATTCTCTGCACGTGCAGTTTCACGAAAATGTAGCAGTCTTGCGGCAGGAACACCTGAGGTTGACGGGGATTATCTCATGATATCTAATACGGAGAATTATGAGATAAAATCTCACCACTTCCTCTATTTCATTGTTCATTAAATTTTTGAGAGTTGGCAACTTGGTTAGCATGTGAAACAGACAAGTAAAGATCACTAAACCTCCTCGATGTACTCAGAAATCTCTCCCAGTAGTGTTTTCTCAATCCGTCCCTTAACAATCCGAGCTGAGTCAATACTTGTGGCAACTTCCAGTGGAGCAGTGATTATAGGGGTCCTGGAAAGTACTACCGTCAAACAAATTCGTTATAATTTAGTTACAGTTTAGTTAAAATTTATTTACAATTTAGTTACAATTTAGTTAAAATTTATTTACAATTTAGTTACACTTACAGTTTAGTTAAAATTTATTTACAACTTCGTTACAATTTAATTACAGTTTAGTTAAAATTCATTTACAATTTAGTTACAATTTATTAATTATTTACAATTTAGTTACAATTTATATACAACTAGCGTACAATGCAGATTCCAAAAGTGTTGTACTCTCGTACAACACTAAAATGTACACATTTTATTCTTATTAATCTATTATTTCTCCTTATGATAGCTTGGTCTAAATGTCCTATTGTTTCTAACGTCATTTCACACGGTTAGCAAGCAGAGTCCACCTTATAGCTGGTTGACATGCTTAATTTTAAGCTAATTATTGGATAGGTTCTGCCCGCATGATATTATTAGTTTTACGATTACATCACGTGATATGTGAGTCACGTGATATGTGGGTCACGTGATTAAGATTTCTTATAGAAAGTTTTAGAGATTGTTTTTGGATTCGATTGGATTCTACACCGATTCTATTTTGTTGCTAGTTTGATTCTCGGTTGAATGCGATTGTGAACGCTACTACATTATATTCGTTAACTTGACATTTCTTTAGTAGTTATAAAGTTTATAGTGCTGTATTCTATTTTGAGAATGGTTTCAGTTCAAATTCTAGAGGTCCCTATCAAAACCTAACTATAGTTACTCTTCTGTCAACTATGGTCTACATAAATGGTTATTCGAATCGGACAAAAACAACCGAGTTATGAGCCAGAGGTTATACTCATTTGTGGGCATTCGGGCAACCAAATTTTATAACGTTCATAATATTGTATAATATAAATAAATGACAAATTTTGCATTAATTTGCATCTTTGGCAGTCGTAACATTATTTTGTGACCACCTTGTATTGTATCTTCATACGAATGATAATGATTTACATTCTTATATAGCCTACGTCACAAGCGTTGAGGGGTAATAATTTGAAGCCCTATATATCGAAGATGACCGTGAAACCTGATCTTAACAAAGACTTCACTTACTTCTTGAAAAACACTGAATTTTATGATTCACATCGTCACAGAATCAGAAGAAATGCAGTGCGGTGTTATTGGCCCAACACAGTGCTACGCTTAGAGAGGCTATTAAAGAAGATAACGAATTGTTCCTAAATGAAAATATGCATGTGAGCGAATGTCTGTCAGTTCTTTACGGCGGCTCCGTGATGATCACTAAGGAGAACTTTCAGGATATCCTAAATTTTATGGTGGCTTTCGACATTCCTGCACCCCAAAAAAGGTTTTAAGTGGTGTTCCCCAGGGAAGCGTTTTGGGGCCGCTTCTCTTTATCTTGTTCATCAATGATCTAGAACAAGTATAGTAGTGGACTCATCTAGGGTGAGTTTTTTCGCCGATGATACTAGAGTCTCCAAACAGATTGGCTATTTTGAAGACTGTCAGTTGTTACAAGAAGATATCTATAAGATTCTTGACTGGTCACGTAGCAACAACATGAAGCTTCACGAGCAGAAGTTCGAGCTGTTAAATCACCTTCATAACAGTAAGAGCTCATTCCCCGAACTACCCTTCTTTGCCGAAACACTGCGTTACAAAGTATCCAGTCAGGACATACTTTATCCTGTCGAAAACGTCCGAGATCTTGGAGTTATGGTTTCAAGTGATCTTAGCTGGTCGACACACATCGGCAACATGGTACCCAAAGCAAGGAGCACGCTATCCTGGGTATTCAGTGTGTTCAAAACTCGCGACAAGACCGTAATGACTACTCTCTACAAGTCACTAGTAAGAAGTTTACTAGAGTATTGCTGCCCACTCTGGAGCCCTACCAAGGTGACTGAAATACAGCTGATAGAGGGGGTGCAAAGAACTTTCACCAGTCGTATTGGCGGTCTTCAACATCTCAACTATTGGGAAAGACTCGTACAGCTTAAATTAATGTCTCTACAGCGCAGACGGGATAGGTATATCATCCTAGGATGATGTGGAAGATTCTCCATAATGTGGTACCAAACTGTTGTGATATCAAGTTCAAGGTGACCCCAAGACACGGGGATGTAGCTGTCATACCCTCATTGTCAAAGTCAAGTTCCTTACGCAACCAGTCACTGTACGACAGGTCTTTTGCAGTTCAAGGACCGAAGCTGTGGAACAAAGTGCCTCACACAGTAAAGGCTGATTCATCCTTTGACATGTTTAAGTGTAGTTTGTCGAACTTTCTTGCTTTGATACCGGACAACCCTTCGGTCGCCGGCTACAGCTGCAGTTGGTCAAACTCACTGGTCGACTACTCGCCATCCAGGTGGTCAGATATCTGATGACCCTTCCGGCTCCACGGATAAACTCAACGAAGTAACGAAGTAAGTAAAGTTCTGGATTGGATGGCTGAAACTAGATCGACTTTGGACGACTCCAGTTTGTTAATCAATGGTTTTATGACTGCCGCCAATGCCTGTGGTAACGGACCACCAGAGTGTGTTGGTTCAGAAGAATCTCTTAAAGAACAGATTTACCGACCTTGTAGGCTGTTGTTTGTAAAACACCTATTTACAATGATTCATCCTGGAGGCAATGATTCAAAGTATCAAAACCTTAACAGTGCTATAAAGTATGTTATTTCAGAGGTTAAGGACAAGAAGGAATTGCTGGTCCTGCTGATGCATCAAGATCTTATCCTTGACTATCTTTCGTCGATCATAACACTCATAGACGAGACCAGTTACAACATCTTCTTTGATTCCCTTGATAGACCTAAAATTTCAAATGCGATGTCTTTCTCCACCCGTACACAATTTGGAGAACTATTTGACAAACTTTGAAAACAGTACATTGAAAGAGCACAAGCAGTTAAACAAATATAAGATGAAGATTCACGATAAAATTATTTTTGTTCAGTTATTGAAGTTCATGAAAGAGAGGCTGTCTTTACTCTTGCTGGAAGGCATTTGATGCAGATTATCTGCATCGGCATTTAGTGGGTAAGCAACTCTATGAACACATTTTCAAATGACCACACGTACATTTATCGTAAGCCATTAAAATAGAAAGGAAGAGAAACAATTGAAACGATTACATTTTTATCCGGACCTGGGAAAGCTTTGGTCAATTACGAAACTGCGTTCAAGATGATTAATATATTTGTTATAGAGATGATTTCCTGCACTTTCTGTAATATTTACGTTTTACTAAGATAAATTACTTTACTTTTTTAAACGAAGATTTTCATTTCATTTTAATCGCCGTTTACAACTTAACTGACAAATCAACGGACAAATTGCAAAAACAGCACGGAAGCTGTAATTGTCAACACAGATTACTGTTCTAGTATATACCAAGGTGTTAAACGTTCAGTCGTTCTAATACAGATGGATTATTTAAAGTTAAGTAATTCAAAGATTTTAATATCGAGGTTTCATAACAAAACGGACTTGCTTGGTCTCTTGTTCTTTCATTTTTGCAACAAGTATCATGCAAACGGAATGTTTTCAATATCAGTATTCAGTAAAACTGAATGGTTGGTTAGTGTAAATATTAGAGATGGCGCCCTTGTGACTAGATTACTTAACTGTTATCTAAGTTATTAAATAAAATAAGTATAACTAAGTAACTAACTTAGTACCTGATTCAGTTACTAAGTAACGAAGAATTATTTAGCGAACAGCACGTTTGAGCAGCATACTTTTAGGATTGAAACCCAAAGTAACTGAAGCTACTACTAAGCTAATTCTACTTCTTTTTCTACTACTGAAGATTTAAAGCTTTAAAACAGCTCGTCTCTTCGAGTAGCCTGGCTACAATCAGCACAGTCGGCATAAAACAAGGCAGAGAGGAGTTCACTAAAGTGTTCATACTGTTACGTAGTCTTGCGTGATGCTGTGCTGCTGTGTGTAGCTTGATTGTGGGTTACTTCTCACACGGATATAATATATATAGTGGAGATGTGGCTACTATTTGTGGCTAATATTTGCAGCCGCAACTCATTTCGCTTTGCTCGTTTATCTGATAAAATCGTATTTCTACGTCTGAATTAGAAATGTTGCTATATTCTGTCCTTATTGACCATTGACCAATGCCGGGATAACTCACGCTATATTATTAGCAGCATTAACAATCTCCTTGATTCTGGGGACCCCCAGTGTGATGTTCATGGTAGCTACCCCCGCAAAATGGAACGTCTTCAGGGTCATCTGAGTAGCGGGCTCGCCGACACTCTGTGCACCTAACGCTCCAACAGCAGTCCCTGTGTTAATCGCTCATGTTAATAGTTATATAAATTGTTAATATCAATGTTTAATTTATTTCAAGTTGTTTAATAGTTATATAAATTGTTAATATTAGTGTTTAATTTATTTCAAGTTTTGTGCACGTTTTTAGTTTTAACCGTCGTGTTTATTGTTTAATGTGCATTTCACAGCATCCTTAAATCGAGATGCTTTAACAACTTTGCCGTATTATATTTAGTTCCGAAATCGCCGGAAACGGACGAATTTATTTATGAAGCGAGGTTTATTATGAGAATAAACATGATTGCATATTTGTGGGAATACAGCAATAACAGCATTTATTGCATAATAGTTGTTTACGAATAACCATTTCGGAAGTGTTGCTATATCATCGGCCTTACTAGCTAGATTTAATGAACAGGAGTTTATGTCATTTCCCCACAAATAGTACTCAATAGTACACCCTACACCCTACACCCTACACCCTACACCCTACACCCTACACTCTTAACCCGGCCCCTCACTTACCAGGTTCCACTTTACAAGCCATGAACTTCTTGTACATGAGTTTAAGGAACTACACTCTTAACCCGGCCCCTCACTTACCAGGTTCCACTTTACAAGCCATGAACTTCTTGTACATGAGTTTAAGGAACTACACTCTTAACCGGGCCCCTCACTTACCAGGTTCCACTTTACAAGCCATGAACTTCTTGTACAACCCGGCCCCTCACTTACCAGGTTCCACTTTACAAGCCATGAACTTCTTGTACATGAGTTAACCCGGCCCCTCACTTACCAGGTTCCACTTTACAAGCCATGAACTTCTTGTACATGAGTTTAAGGAACTTCTCCAGCTGACTCGCTGTAACACGTTTAGTTTGCAGTACTACAGAGTGAGAAGGTCCGGCCCGAGCAAAGTAGTCCTCCACTACACCAACTTCTTCTGCAAACTTATACAGGAAGTCTTTGAGATTTTCACGGAGTTTGATAAAGATATCCTCAAAGACATCGTCGAACTTTGTTTCAAGGACTTGAATGATTTGTGCTCGAGTCAGCATCGGTTCTTCCCTGAAAGTCAGTTTTTTGTTATTTTAAAATCTTGGGATAGTTAAAAAGAGTGGCATGCATTCAAAAATGACATAAGTTACTAACGTTTATGACATAAGTTACTAACGTTTATTTGTACGTGTCTCCAGTTGTGACGATGATCTTAACCGATGATTGATTGATGTTTTTCCTTATTTCTGATCACAGAGTTGTATTTGACTAGACAAGTTGCAACGTCTATGTTAAGCCTATTATTCCTACCAACATCAGTAATCATTGCATCCTATCATTTTTTAGCTCAATCTCAAATCCGTCCGCAAAGCAGTTTACTTTAGGAAAACATGTGTGCGGTGCGATTCAAATCGGTCCTTAGCCAATGAAATTGAAGGCATTTGTTGAATGTCGTTTGATAAGACCAGTGCCAACAGGTACTCAAGTCACATGAATGGAAAAACAGCTGTTATGAATTTTGCATACGAATCAAACAACAAAATGGTCAAAGAATCTTTGAATGGTTTATTTCCATTTCATGCTGTTGTTGAATGTAGCAACTACAATAGTTGTCTTGTTTTTTAATTAATCTATCCAACCAGCCTAGGAAGTGAAGTCTGAAACTGAACTGTAACTACAGTAGTTGTCTTGTTTTGATACTAATCTCTCAAACCAACATAGGAAGTGAAGTCTGAACTGCCCTCAAGATGATATACTTTATCTGGTGCATATTCATGAACATGGCTCCCTTCAAGGTCATCACGCTAGACGACATGTGGGACCAGATGAACCGCACTGTTATGTACGCCTTGTGCATCACTATCGCTTGTTTTATTGACTTTGGCCTTATATCAGGGAGCCCTATAAAATGTACGGGGTTTCAGGAGACTTTCTCTTATGAGTTTGCGGAGGATTATTGCTGGACTCAGGGTAGGTCGGGAGCTGAATCAGAACTAAGTTTTATGTACTGAGAAATAGTTTAAGTAGTTAATATTCACCAGGATCTAACTTACTTTTGGGGAGTTTGGATTGAACAATTACTACATTAATTATTGAATTGGTTTTAACTACATTTTCATAACGATTAACGGTTAATACCGCCCACTATACAGGAATATACACGATAAAAGAGGCGTATGACATGGAGAACACGGCAGTACCTTATCCCGGACTCATCCCGGAGGAAGTTCCCTGGTGCAGGGATGGGACCAGAGGGGACGGAGTCAGGATCACCTGTCCCGACCAAGATGATCCTCGTATTAAACCTCCTACTAGGGTTTATCATCTTTGGTATCAGGTTCTTACTTTTCTCATTATATTTCAAAAACTAACGATACTTATAATATTATATTATGGAAATTTAGAAATGCTCTCATTTTTTAAATGTTTTCCATCTCGACACATTTAGTGAATGTAAACGAACCATGATTCTATAAAATAAAATGAAAGCCTTGAACGACTCGCCTAATTATTAGATAAGGTTATTATTTGATTATTAGACCTTCACACTCATTTCATTTCAGTTTGTACAGTTCTATTTCTGGGTAGTATCAATGCTCTTCTACATGCCCTACATGATATACGCCAGCATGGATATAGCTTACGTAAAACCCCTGATAAAGATGCTGCACAACCCTGTAGTTACTCCGTACGAACTATCAGAGCTGATAGATAAAGGAGCTAGGTGGATGAGAATGAGGTTTGATTTGTACACGGCTGATAAGTCCAGTTACCAGGGCGTGGTCCACAAGAGGAATGCTCTACTTTACACTGTCCTGGCAACTAAACTCATGTACTTGTTCTTCTCTGTGGGTATAATGTACGGGACAGAGAAGATGTTTAAAGTTGGTAGTTTTATAACTTATGGTATAGACTGGGTGGGCTCCTCAGCTCCTAACGATTCAGTCTCAACCCTCCCCCAAGACAAACTCTTCCCCAAGATGGTGGCATGTGAGATTAAGAGATGGGGTCCTAGTGGTATAGACCTCACACGAGGATGTGTATATTAACACAGAACGTTTGTAACTCCTACTTATTCCTAGTGTTCTGGATAGTTCTGGTGATCACTATATCAGGGAATGCTATCGGTCTGAGTATCACTATTTTAAGAACAGTGTACGTAAAGGCGGGATATCATAACCTCATCTCCTACACTCTGAACCATGATCCGTACGTTGAGAAGTTATATAACAGTGTGGGACCATCAGGTCGGATAGTACTGTTACAACTAGCACAGAACTTGCACCCCAACACCTTTGAGAGACTTATTAGAAGATACAGGTGGCTTAAAAAATATGAGCATGTTGAATATAATGGACACTTGAAAAGTTCGTAAGAAATAGTGTCTTTAAAAAGACAGGAATGTTTTTAAAGACATGGTAGATTTGATGCTGACAGTGTTTCTGTTGATTTATTTAAATCTATTTTTAATTAATCATTAACCTAATATCGTGATCATTATGTAAGCGTGGGAAGTATTTGTTAATTCTAATTTATTTGTTAATATCAAATTCAATTATCATTCACAGTTAAATCTCACGAATGAAAACCAAGATAATTTGCAAATTGTTTCACTGTTATATTATAATAGGCCAAATATTTGCTAAATGTTCCGTGTACGAGTCAATCGTTGCAGAAAATTGATTTACAAAAAATATTTCACTATCGAAAAACTTAACGCCGCCTCCCCACCAGTAGTAAAGTCAATAAACTAAAAGTATTAAGTCAATAAACTAAAATCTACCCAAACCTGGAGGGTATGATGTTTTGAACGTGTTGGAGAACTCTGAGTGGCTCCACAGGTATCCCTTTACCCTCAATGTTAGTAGGATCCAGCCCGTCGTCCCCGTACGTAAACTGTACGATTCCTCCCGTGCTGTTTCGTACTGTCTGATCGTACTGAACACACAGGTCCTCTATTGATTTAGTGAGACGGCGCTGCATGTACCCTGTCTCTGCTGTTTTTACTGCTGTGTCCACCAGTCCTTCTCTGCCTGCAGGAGAGTGTTATAGTAAACAGACCAATTATGTGTTTTAATGGACTTTCACCCAGATCGAGTGAATTTCTGCTGTTTCTTAAGCCTTTGTAGAATTGTAAACGTAACATCGGTAGCGTGATTTCCCTGACTATTTAAGCGGTCTTAACAGCAATCACCATCTAACAAACTGCCTTCGCCTTCTAACAAACTGCCACCACAATTTAACGCGCTTAAATTTGATTCAGTCCCGCTTAACTTGGATGGATCCTTATGACCTTTATAAAGGACGCTTAAATAATAATTAATACAATGATGTTGCTATTGAATAGAAGCTCGTTTAAATCTGTACCACCAGTGCAGGAACACTTTGCTATTGAAATAATTTTGCCCGTCATGAATTCGGTAGCGTTGCCCTTTTTCGTAGCACAGAGAACAGCTGGAAAGAGGGGAAAGCGTCTGAGATGACAATTTGTAGGACTAAATCAGGGGTGATAGTGATTGTGGCTTTTAATTCCAGTATTGTTTCAGAAGATGATTATGATAATGATCAAGCTGAATCATAGTTTACCTATTCCAACTTTTTATACTTTTACTGTTTTAGTTTGAATTATATCTATACTGAGACTATATTCTAATATAAATTAAACGGTCGGAACCAAGGATGTCAATTTTAGCAATATGATGTCAGTTTATTGGATATCATAGTTTATTGTACGACATAATACAAGATTCCTGTCCGAAACTTTTTATAATCGAGACTAAAGGAAAAGCATTGAAAGCCTATATTATTCAAAAAACAAATCGAGTTAAATGAAACCCAATCTATTGTCAAAAAAGTAAAAACAAATTACAAATATCATAACCGGACCATAATATCAAACAGTCAATAGAACTAGAAAACATGCTTTAAATAATCAATCTATGTCCGTATTGGAAATAAAGCTTCAAATTACACGAAGAGACTGCACGTGCACATTGTTTTGGCATCTCAGTGTTCAAAGTAAGGCATATCATCTCCACATTTAGTTACTCCGCAATACTCCCATCTCACCCAGAAGCTAGAAGTGTAGCACCAAGGAGAGTGAGTGTTCCCTGGGTCTGGGTTCCTACAGAGGTTGTGACTGCCCAGTCCGTAAGTAGCCACGTTGTGTGAACTTGGGTGGAACTCCGGGTGCACGTGCGGATAGTCCTTGTTCCATGCCTGGCACGCGACAACAGAACCTCCCTCTATTGTCACGTTGTTGGCAGATCCCCGGTATCCTATACCGTCCCCTGCTGAGCACTTCACATCCCAGATACACTTGGGAATACCACAAGGGGACTTAGTTACCTTACCATCATTCACCACACAGTGGGGCCCCATCTCGTCACCGTCAGTGTTCCTGCAGAACGAATCACAGGGCTGGCCGAGGTGGTCTTTCGTTTGGTATCCAGCAAACTGCTGGCCATGTCCCTCAGTGTCCTTGTAGCAGAACACGTTGCCAATCATTGGTTCCAGGACAAGTTGATTCAGAGTGATGTCCAGGACTAGTCTGTCTCCCTGTTTGACGATGTGGTACTCAGTGTACGGGTTTAGTGGCAGCCTAACTGCCCAATCTCCACTCAATGCCATCAGCACCACAGTTTTATCTCCTCCGACAGTGATATTCTTAAGATCTGTTAACTCAACAGCTCTATCTTTCCCGATCGTGTATTTTAGCAGTGGTCCCTGACAGTCCTCAGCTGACTTGGAACCCACGTTGTAAGTAGTGTAGGTTTTACTGTCCCGACACTCCTTGCACGTGCTGCCCCCGGCGCGATCTTGATAGGATCCCTTGGCACATTGAGCACAATTAATTTGCCCAGTCTGGTCTTGGTAAGATCCTGCTTCACATTTTGTACAGTCGGCGCTACCTGGATCTGTTGAGAATGTACCAGGCTCACAGAGAGCGCATAAGTTAGAGCCAGGACCGGCAGCACTTCCTGGAGAGCACTCAGTGCAGTTAACAGCTCCAGGCTCTGAAGAGAAGGAACCAGCAGGACAGTCGTCACAGGAGATAGCACCTGCATCTGCAGCATGTGTGCCAGCAGAGCAAGCCCCACAGGCTAGAGCACCTACATCGTCTGAAAAATAGCCTGGAGCACAAGGATCACACATAGCTGATCCGGCATCTTTAGCAGCTGATCCTGCGGCACAAGGATCACACGTAGCTGATCCGGCATCTTTAGCAGCTGATCCTGCGGCACAAGGATCACACGTTGCTGATCCGGCATCTTTAGCAGCTGATCCTGCGGCACAAGGATCACACATAGCTGATCCCGCATCTTTAGCAGCTGATCCTGCGGCACAAGGATCACACGTTGCTGATCCGGCATCTTTAGCAGCTGATCCTGCGGCACAAGGATCACACGTAGCTGATCCGGCATCTTTAGCGGCAGAGCCTGGAGGACATAGGGTACAGTTTGCAGAGCCAGCATCAGAAGCAGCACTACCGGCAGCACACAGATCACATATCTCAGAGGCGGCCTCAGAAGAGAAGGATCCAGCTGAGCATGCAGAGCAGGCTGATGAACCAGACTTATCAGCAAAAGATCCAGGAGAGCAAGCGTCACACTCAGTAGAACCGTTGTTTCCAGCAGAATAACCAGGTAAACAGAGAGTGCAGTTTACAGAGCCAGCAGCAGAAGAAATACTACCGGCAGCACACAGATCACAGATCACAGAGGCGGACTCGGATGAGAAGGATCCAGCTAAGCATGCAGAGCAGGCTGATGAACCAGACTTATCAGCAAAATTTCCAGGAGAGCAAGCATCACATACAGTGGAACCGTTATTTCCAGCAGAATAACCAGGCTCACAAGAGTCACACTCAACTGATCCGGTGCTGTTAACAGCAGACCCTGGTGAGCAGAGTGTGCAGCCTTTGGAGCCAGCTTTGTCAGCATAGCTACCAGCAGCACAAAGAGTACAGGTCTCAGACCCTTTACCAACAGAGAAGGATCCAGCAGCACAGTCCGCACAAGAAGTCTGGTTACTAAGAGGGTTAGATGTTCCAGCATCACATTTTGTGCACTTTGTAGCATTGACACTTGAACTAAAGGTTCCTGGAGGACAGGCAACACAGGAACCATCCTTCTTTTGTCTCTCCCCTGGAACACAGGTCGGGTCATCTGTGGGGATTTTCAGTTCCTTCCAGACCTTGTTGATGAGTTCCTCCCAATACGATGCTGGGTTAATTTCATCCTCTCTAGTGATGGACACCGCTCCTGCTAGCAGACAGAGCACACTCAAGCTACAGAAGAGGACCAGGGATCTCATACCTTCAGATAATAGGAGAGTTAGAACTTCTATAACAATTTACACAGACAAGTATTGAAAGGAAAATCGAGGAACATAACATATACAAATTACAAAATTGAACAAGGACTTATGTCACATAAGGGTCTTATGCTCTTATGTCACATATGGGTGACATAGCCATGCAAGTCAGAATAATAAATGTAACAAATGTGTTAGTGAATTTAGGTAAAGCTCGCTGAAGAGATTCATCATATTATCATGTAAGCGGTAACGACAAGCAGAGAAGTCAAGTGGCAGGACGGTCAAGCTTAGAGAAATTTAACAGTTCATAAAATTATATGACAAACGCAACCACGAGACCGCTGACCGCAGTGAAGTATGAGCTCTAAAAATACACCTTATCAGACTCAGTGAAGAGAGTCACAAGATCACCGAGCTGTAATAGAATATCCTACTTTATAAACAGCTCACTCTCTAGAATCACGTACTGTGGGTCTGGCACCCTTAGTACCACTGCGGTACCTTCTAATACAATCAACTTATCAACTCTCAGCTATCACAAAATAAGGAACTTAAAGAATTTAGCTGCATGATCTCATGTGATGTTTAAAGTAACATGTAAAACATTTATATCGAGCATGGTGATGTCAAGGTAGTTAATACAGGCCTGTGGCCTCTGGTCGGACCCTGGTCCTACTCAAAACACAAATCCGGATAGAAAAACGGTTTCTCTAAAACTTTGTAAAGTATAAGTTTTCTGAAAGAAGGAGGCTGGTAAAAGGCCAGAGTATATGATATAGTGTAGATTATGACAGTGATTCAAACTTTAATCGCTATTATATCCTCCTCGACTTTTAATATCATTATAACAATTGCAATTGTCTAATAGTGTGTTATTTATTTACTAATAAAACAATGAAGTGGATTATAATATTATTAAAACAATTCAATTGAAATCATTATGATAAAGATAGCATCTGGGAATAAATTAAAATTCGGTACCAATCATTTTGCAAATCAAAGATATAAAAAAAGGACGCAATAAAAAATTAGGTTGATAACTCCATCCAGTGGGTCGCGGGTACATATCACGTGATATTATTGTCATGGCAACCATAAAATAGAGCTGTCTCTAAGCTACAGTATCAACTCAATCTATCCACAGTATAGGACAATACTGACTCTCAATGCTTAAAATAAGTCCTGACTCTTAATGCTCGAAATAAGGTATGTCGGCAGTACATTGGGGCACGTCACAGTAGTCCCACCTAACCCAAGAGCTGTTGGAGTAGCACCAGGGACCTTTAGTAGTGACCTGTGGGTCTGGGTTCCTGCAGTAGTTGTGTTTCCCCAGTCCGTAGATCTCCTTATTTTTAGAGGTTGGGTGGAAGTCTGAGTGGTGGTGAGGATAGTTGCTGTTCCAACTCTGGCACGCTATTTTCACTCCAGCCTCTGTCAATGAGTTCACATTTCCCCTGTACTCTACTCCTAGACCAGCAGAACACTTGACGTCCCACACACATTTGGGAATACCACAAGGAGAGGGAAGGTAGGCATGTCCAGCAACTTCACAGTGAGGTCCAATGTCTTCTCCGTCGTAGTTCCTGCACTGGGTCCTGCACTGACGGCCCAGGTAGTCCTTGGTTTGGTATCCGCTAAATCTCTGACCATGTCCCTCCGTGTCTTTGTAGCAGAACATATTTGTTATCAGCGGTTCAATGTGCAGACTCTTGTGCTCTACTCCGTTAAGATAGATCTTCTTTCCCTGCTTCACAATGTGATAATCAGTATAATGATGCTCTGGAATCCTGATGAACCAGTCTCCGCTCACAGCATGGAACTCAATCTCACTCTCATGCTTACTAACATCAATAGTCTTAACATCAGTCAGCTCATGAACACTATCACTCCTCAGAGCGTATCTGATAAGGGGACCATGACAGTCGTCAGATGATGTGGCGCCAGTGTGGTATGTGGTGTAGGTGTTTTTATCACGACATGCCGTGCAGCTTAAACTGCCTTTGTCGTGCTGGTAGGTTCCTTTAGCACACAGGTTGCACTTTTTCTGTCCCTCCTTGTCTTGATAGGAGCCTGAATTGCACGCAGCACAGTGAGTGGAACCAGTACCCGGAGCCACACTCCCAGAGGAGCAGAGAGAGCAAACAGCAGTTCCTGGTTTGGAGGAGAAGGACCCAGCTGAGCACTTGGAGCAGGATATTGAGCCGATATTATCAGCGAAGGAGCCGGGGGAACACGCGTCACATTTGATGGAGCCTTTCTTTCCAGCAGAAGAACCAGGTTTACATTTGTCACATGATAATGCACCGGTTTTGTCACTGAAGCTTCCAGCCGAGCATGATGAGCAAGATGTCTGGTTAGTGGAGGGGTTGAATGTGCCGGCAGCACATGATGAGCAGCTTGTAGCGTTCACATCAGGACTGAAGGTGCCTGCTGGACATGCAACACACGTGTCATTAACAGTCCTATACTCACCAGGGAAACAGGAGTCACCCAGACATTGCACTTGGTGACTGTCTGGATGTGTTCCTGATCCACACTCAGTGCAGTTCACTGAACCAGATTTACTAACTGAGCCAGAGCTGCAAGCAGCGCAGGCTACACTTCCGGTGGTGTTTGCAAATGTTCCTCCAGCACAGTCAGCACAAGAACTAGAGCCGTTCTTTCCCGCAAAATGTCCTGGAGAACAGAGAGTACAGTTAACAGAGCCAGCACCAGAAGAAGCACTTCCCGCAGCACACAGATCACAGATCACAGAGGCAGACTTATCAGCAAAGGAACCAGCAGAGCACACAGCACATTCAGTGGAGCCATTATTTCCAGCAAAATGACCAGGTTTGCAGCTATCACATGACAGAGATCCGTTTTTAGCACTGAAGCTTCCAGGAGAGCATGCTGCACAGGAAGTTTGGTTTGTAGAGGGGTTGAATGAGCCAGGAGCACACATTGAACAACTTGTAGCGTTCACATCAGCATTGAAAGTACCTGCTGGACAGGCGACACAGGTACCATTCTCAGTTTTATATTCACCAGGGAAACAGGAGTTACCCAGACAATGTACTTGATGACTATCAGGGTGAGTTCCTGGATCACACTGACTGCAGTTTACTGAACCGGCTTTACTAACTGAGCCAGAGCTGCAAGCAGCGCAGGCTTCACTTCCGGTGGTGTTTGCAAATGTTCCTCCAGCACAGTCAGCACAAGAACTAGAGCCGTTCTTTCCAGCAAAATGTCCTGGAGAACAGAGGGTACAGTTAACAGAGCCAGCACCAGAAGAAGCACTTCCAGCAGCACACAGATCACAGATCACAGAGGCAGACTTATCAGCAAAGGATCCAGCAGAGCATGCAGAGCAGGCTAATGAACCATACTTGTCAGCAAAAGATCCAGGAGAGCAAGCGTCACACTCGATGGAACCGTTATTTCCAGCAGAATGGCCAGGTTCACAAGAGGCACACTTTACTGATCCGGTGCTGTTTACAGCAGAGCCTGGAGCACATAGGTTACAGACAGTGGACCCGGCTTTGTCAGCATAGCTACCAGCGGCACAAAGTGAACAGTTCACAGACCCTTTACCATCAGAGAAGGATCCAGCAGCACAGTCTGCACATGAAGTCTGGTTACTAAGAGGGTTGGATGTTCCAGCAGCACAACTGGAGCAGCTTGTAGCATTGACACTTGAACTAAAGTTCCTGGAGGACAGGCAACACAGGAACCATCCTCTGTTCTCTTCTCGCCTGGAACACAAGTATCAGTTAAACACTGTGCCTTGTGACTGTCTGGGTGAGTCCCTGGACCACAAGCTGTGCAGTTAGATGCTCCTGCTCCACTCACTGTTCCAGCTGGACAAGAAGAGCACGTGTCGGTGGGTTTGACACTGAAGGTTCCTGGAGCACACTTCTCACACTCAGTATGGTTGGAGGCACTGTATTCCCCAGACTTACAAGCATCACAGTCAGCAGCAGCAGAATCTTCACTGATGTAACCAGCAGCACAAGCAGAACACGTGACAGAACCTGTGTGGTTAGCAAAGGTTCCCTCACTACACGGAGTACAGGTCTGTTGTCCAGGTTTGGAGTTGAAGTAACCGAGAGGACAGGGAGTACAGCTCTTCTGTCCGGCAAAACTGTACGACCCAGCAGCACAGGGTTCACATTCTTTAGTTTTGGTGTTGTAGAAGGTTCCGGCGGGACATGTGGGCCTGTCTACATTGTGGTCACCCCACTCGTTTAGTAGGTTGTTGAGGGACCTCTCCTAGACCCAGTCTCTGCTCCTTACTATCAACACTGTTTCCAGGGAGGTACGCAGATTCTCCCAGTAGTAGGAGGGCTACAAACAAACAGAGCTTCAACATCCTGCTGGTGGAGTTATCAAGAGATTAGACTCTGTTAAATTATACTGGTAACATTTTCACTGGCTTTTTAATGTGCTCAGATGAAAAACAAAACTTACGGTAAAAGAAACAATTGCGAAATAAAGAAATAAAGGAAGGTTACAATATTAGTATCTAGATAATTATTGAATAATCCCAATATTACTTTTAAAATAAAATGTTAAATACAGTACTAGAGATCAAAGATAAATTGATAGATCAAAGATAATGAAATTCGGGAAATATTGATTCTTGATAATAAAATATATCGCATTAAAAAGTCATTAAGCTGATAACGATGGCCTCAGATAAAATATAGCGAGCACACAAAATCTTACTGATTATCTAAAAATAATCCACTGAGTTCGAGATTTGATTAACCCTATTATATATATAATACAGAGAAATGAAATCACTACGAGATTGATTTACATGTCCGGTTGAATATGATTTCTTGGCCCGAATCAATTTCAGACTAAGATGCTACCAAATATGAAAGTAAAGTTAATATGTAAAGTTTCGTCCCTAGAGTTTGGAGATCTAGCATGCACATCCATAAAGCAAACGTGACATTGATGCAAGCAAGCAAAATTGCAGTATTATAAAAGATGTATCACAAGACAGTTATTTGAATGAGTTAACCTTTCTATCACCTGACTTCCTGTTATCACTACAACTTTAGATTCGATTAAAACCAGAGAACCTCTCATAATATACCGTGACAGAAGGGACACAGTTAACAATTATCTAAAAACCTCGTACGAACTACGGTCCAGTTATATTTAGAACCACGTACGTTAAGTCTGCATAAAATATAAAATATAGTTGGAATAAATGAGATGACAAAGAATAGACCTGTAGTTTCATTGCTTCATTAAGCAATATTGACAGTTGACCCTCGACCTCTTGCTAGAAACATTTTTTGCCCAAAATATTTGCGCTAGATATCTAATCAGGTAAAACTTCAGTTAAAACTTCCGGAGAAAGGTACAGATCAAATACTCAGGTAGGCTAGGCTAGAGTGCAATTACTAAGAAATAAAAACCAAATTCTAAGAAACCACAAACCTCCCATAGTATGAAAGAAGAACTCAGTAGGAGTTAGACCGGAGTAGAAACTGTTAGCCACGAACCCCTTAGCATCAGGAATCACACTGTTTCGAGGGAAGTGGGGCAAGGACCGAGCTTCAAACCCATCTGGGGTCCGTTTACCGTTTATAGCTTGCTGTCCAACACATGCTATCATCTGGTGGAGGGGGAGGTAAGGGTTAAATGTGTTTTACAATGTGTTTTACAATGTGTTTTACAATGTGTTTTACAATGTGGTTTTATTTTTACAATAACGCTGTTCAAAAGGTGGGGTTTTCTTCTCAAACAATGAAGTTAAATTACAAGTATTGCAAGTACCTGCGAAATGTTGATGTTGCTACCCTTACTCCCACACAGAGCCATGATCATGGGGGCGTTTGTTTTATCTAACTCTGACAAACACGCTTTACCAGCATGCTCTCGTATCACCTGTACAAGTTAATTATCAGCACAGTACTTACAAATGAGGCAATGCAAGTTCATTATTAGCACAGTACTTACAAATGAGGCAATACAAGTTCATTATTAGCACAGTACTTACAAATGAGGCAATACAAGTTCATTATTAGCACAGTACTTACAAATGAGGCAATACAAGTTCATTATTAGCACAGTACTTACAAATGAGGCAATACAAGTTCATTATTAGCACAGTACTTACAAATGAGGCAATACAAGTTCATTATTAGCACAGTACTTACAAATGAGGCAATACAAGTTCATTATTAGCACAGTACTTACAAATGAGGCAATACAAGTTCATTATTAGCACAGTACTTACAAATGAGGCAATACAAGTTCATTATTAGCACAGTACTTACAAATGAGGCAATACAAGTTCATTATTAGCACAGTTCTTCAGTTAAGGTATTACAGAATATGAGGTAGATTGAGACGGTCACACGAATATCTCCGAAATATACCACAACCAATAGTACTCACAGACGATCACACGAATATCTCCGAAATATACCACAACCAATAGTACTCACAGACGATCACACGAATATCTCCGAAATATACCACAACCAATAGTACTCACAGACGATCACACGAATATCTCCGAAATATACCACAACCAATAGTACTCACAGACGATCACACGAATATCTCCGAAATATACCACAACCAATAGTACTCACAGACGCTCACACGAATATCTCCGAAATATACCACAACCAATAGTACTCACACGAATATCTCCGAAATATACCACAACCAATAGTACTCACAGATAGTTCCCTGAGGATGACAGCCTCCAGTGTCTCTGATGCTGTGCACCCAGGCTGTGTTTCCAGTTTCCCCAGTTTAAAGTCCTCAATGTAACCGTCACACGCTGCGTAGCCCTCCTCTAGGAGACGCTGTTTAGCCTCGATCAGACCCTGTCCTGGTGTAACGTCTCCTATACCTATGCTGAACCTGGTCAGTATTATTATATCTTACTTATTATACTTTGGGTAGGAACAGTAAAGTGTATAGTAGTTATATTGAGTAGCTGATATGATCGTTTAGATAGTGATCAGTATCTTACACTTTCAGTGAGATATTGAGTTCCTTCAAGACAAGTCATGGTCTTACGATTTTCTAGACGATCAATATAAACGCTAATCATACAATCTTGATGTATCCTAACTTACAGCCATGAGCCATCATCTTACTCAATTTTTAGAAATATGTAATTCTGATAAGCTGTACAGCAAGACGAACCCTCTATGAGATAAGAAAGTGGGTATGAGTCTAGCTAGACGTGACATAGCATCAGCACTAGCGTCAGGCCCGTAGTCCCTGAGGAGGATGTAGAATATGTTGGACTTGCTGCCTCCCCCCAGTAAGGCCTTGTCCAGTGCTCCTGCCAGCAACTCACTGTTCTGGAAAGGTTCGGCATGAGAGCAGAATTATAGCAGTAGTTGGGTAGTAAGTTACTATTATATTTAAATGGGCATTTTCGAAGCTATTTATAAGAAATAAAAGTTTTTTTCCAGTCGGTAAAGTAAAAAGGAGTCAGCAATAAGTAACTTACTCTTATTACGACAAATCCGTCTTTGTGACAGAGCTCCTCTCCCGAAGTATACTGTTTGTTCTTAGCTCTGTGGTTCAGCTTGATGGTATTGTCAGGCGATATGATAAGACCGAACACCTGCTTCCCTGTAATTTAATTAATTCACATATTTGCATATTTACAGATAAAGTCACATATCTCCTTATTCGGAGTTGTAACTTGAATAATATTATGGGTTATTAGCGTTATCATCCAAACCAAGCAGACAAATTATTGAAATACTTTCCATACAAATATAATGAATATTCCAAATTATACTACTAAATATAATATTCCAAATTATACTACTAAATATAATAAAGATAACAGTTTCGGACCTGTCCACATTTTAACAGGTTTGAGGAGAGCTGGAGGAGGAAGGACCATCTTCAGAGTTATGTCCCTGCCAGCAACTACTGAACTGCAGATCTGCTCAATGTGGGACCTGTCCAGGAACACCTGATAAAGAGAGAGGTTAGCTAGACTTACTACCAGGTGCCAAACCTGAATATTAGTTACTTATAGTAACCAATAGTAACCAATAGTTACCAATAGTTACCAATAGTTAAAGAGAGAGGTTAGCTAGACTTACTACCAGGTGCCAATTGCCAAACCTGAATATTAGTTACTTATAGTTACCAATAGTAACCAATAGTTACCAATAGTTACCAATAGTTACCAATAGTTAGTAGTTACCAATAGTTAAAGAGAGAGGTTAGCTAGACTTACTACCAGGTGCCAAACCTGAGCAGTGTTAATAAAAACAATAATAGCTCCAGGATCCAGGTTATTATCAAAATGTCTAATATTCACAATGGAACTTACGTCCTTATGACTGAGAAGATAAGCTCCGGTAATAAAGTCCTGGATAGCAGCTATGAGCGGCTCCCCGTTTCTAGGTGTCGCTAGGTTAGCTTTAACTCCCATCAGAGCTTCTGCTTCCGCTCGGGCTTCCTGAAAATTGTAAAACTATGTTAATTGTATCCTTTTCAATCGTAGCTTGCGCCCCATTTACCGATAAAGTGCTGTATACAATTTGACTGTATTTATTTTTATTTCCCCAGTTCTCTGATAGGCTGATAAGAAGAATGCATGATCGTGTTGAAGTAGATTCTGCACAAACCTGAGTTTGAGGAAGATGAAGGTTCATCTCGTCTCCATCAAAGTCAGCATTATAAGGATTACAGACACACTCGTTAAACCGGAAGGTTCTGTGCGGCTTCACCACCGCATAGTGAGCCATCATGCTGACTTTGTGAAGACTGGGCTGTCTGTTGAACAACACAACGTCCCCGTCCTTTAGATGTCGCTCTACTTTATCCCCTGGTTTCAGTAGTTTTGCTACTTCGTCCCTGTTTGCAAACTTCAGGAACTTCTTTATGGACCCTTCTTTGTTTGCTTGGTAGAATTTGGCACCTGGCCAGCGGTCAGGCCCGTTTTTAATTAACTTTCTCAATTCGTTGATATTCGCTTTTGTGACAACTTCTGGGAATGTCATTATCATTGCTACGTGCTTTGGGACAGCAACCTGGGATAGAAAAAGTTATAACAATGAGGGCCAGGGGGTAGTAAGAATAATTTCAAAGGCGCTATATACTGTAATAATAACTTCCATGATCAGGCTTCTCAGCTAGGTGCTTTGAAATGTATAATGCTAGAACAATAACCATATGCATATATTACAAACTAATTGACGAATCTCATGTTGGATAATATTATGGTCAACCGTTTGAATCTTACCTCGTCAATCCTGAGATTAGGGTCGGGGGATATTACTGTTCTGGCTGAAAAGTTGACACGTTTTCCAGACAAATTACTTCTAAATCGGCCCTGTTTTCCCTTTAAACGTTGGTAAAAACATCTCGCAGGTTTCTTGGGGGCCATGTTGAGTGGAATCCCAGATGTTTCTGAGTTGATGTACAGAGCACATTGTATTTGGAGGTAATCCCACGTCTCCATTAGCTTCGATACCTGAAAGTTGTAAATTTAGTGGACCATTAAACCATTAAACGTCATAATCAGTATTAATTTGATTTACCAATTACCCTAGAAGAATAGTATTATGTTTCAAGGAACGACCACTGAATGAAAGTAGTGTGAAATATTCTAAAAGAGGGGTTATTTTTGTAAACTTCGAAAATATGTTGCATTAGCAACATTTTTTCTCGCCTAATGAGACGGCCAAATGAAACATTAAGCCTACCAAAAAGTTTATATTTTCAACTACAAATCACTATTACATTTAATTTGAGTGGTACTTGAGCACCTCCCTAGAGAGATTTATGCTTAGATCCCAAGTTCATAGTGAAGTTGTTGATTTATGTAGATAATATCAATATATAGACCCCTAAAGAATAAAGTCTTGTGTTTGACATGAGGGAACAACAATCACGAATTAAAATAAGTATCTGACAGCGTTGTAGTTTTGTAAAAATCACTGATATGATTAACATTTTTAATTCATTCGACTTCAACCTTCATCTTTCACGGTAATCGTGGCTAGGCCAGCTGCCAACTGCCAAGTTACCCATAGTTACTACTAGTTACCAATAGTTACCAATAGTTACCAATAGTTACCAATATAAATAGTTACCAATTGTTTCCAAATTTAGTTACCAATAGTTATCAATAGTTACCAATATAAATAGTTACCAATTGTTTCCAAATTTAGTTACTTATAGTTACCAATAGTTACCAATAGTTACCAATTGTTCCCGAATTTAGTTACTAATAGTTACCAATAGTTACCAATTGTTCCCGAATTTAGTTACTAATAGTTACCAATAGTTACCAATAGTTACCAATTGTTCTCGAATTTAGTTACTAATAGTTACCAATAGTTACCAATAGTTACCACTAATTACCTGAGTGCCACTCTGCATGTTTGTCTGAATAACATTGTTCAAGAACACGATCTCAGTTAGTTTAGTAGTTAGATCGTCCTCGTTAGTAGTAGAAGCGTCCACCTCCACAGTGGGACGAATACAGAGAGGCGGGACTAGGATCCGCTGTAAGATCAGGTCACAGGGACGTCCTATGTTAGGGTTCATCCCCAGCAGGACTATCTGATATATTATCATGATTAGTGTAATGATATGTTAGTGTAATGATATGTTAGGGTAATGATATGTTAGTGTAATGATATGTTAGTGTAATGATATGTTAGTGTAATGATATGTTAGTGTAATGATATGTTAGTGTAATGATATGTTAGTGTAATGATATGTTAGTGTAATGATATGTTAGTGTAATGATATGTTAGTGTAATGATATGTTAGTGTAATGATATGTTAGTGTAATGATATGTTAGTGTAATGATATGTTAGTGTAATGATATGTTAGTGTAATGATATGTTAGTGTAATGATATTTTAGTGTAATGATATGTTAGGGTTCATCCCCAGTAAGTAAGCAGAACTAGATATGATACAAAACATAATTAGCAGGATGATAAATCAGCGAATATCACGAACTTGGCCCTCTGTGACTAACCTCGTCAGGTCGGATGTTCTTAAACAGTTCCAGAGCTTTAAGAGGAGTAATAATCTCCACAGCCTTGTTGACGAGGGGAGCTACCTCCTTATTATACGAGATAGCATCTCTAAACAGGGTGTTGTGTTTACTGATAGTGTCGTGTTTCTTAGTCTTGCCTGGACTGCGACCGTAGTCGTGTACTATTTTCAGGAGGGCTGCTTTCTTTACAACACCGTTACTGACCCCACAGGCGGGACAGGACCCTTTCTTCTTGCAGGACACTATTATCTGGGAGGGAACACAACGTTATATGTGTACAAGTTCTGGGGTGCAGTCATTATACTTATTGCACTTTTATTTTTTAAAGTATACAAATTCTCCTTCATATTTGCACTAGTAGTAGTCGTGCGAATGAGTATATCAGGGAAAAAAAACCTTTTTCATGAGTGCCTTCTGAGTGATCCTGTTCATATTGAGCCGTTTGAACATGGTGAGATACTTGTTTCTCTCAGAAAGCGGCAGGAGAACTGCAGAACAACTCTTACAGATACACTGCAGGATCTGGGTTATTGTCTTGAAGTAGCCGATGTGAAATACCGGGAGTTGGAGCTGTATGTAACCGTAATGTCCTATACACTCCGCCAGGGGCAGGTTACATGTTGTACAGTCTACTTTCTTCGAGCCCGCTCCTAATCTGGATTTTGAGACGAATTAATTAGTCTCGTTTTATGGAGTCACTGGATGAAATAATCTCGGGATATTTCTGATAGGAAAAAATTGGTAATTTCTCGTTTGGCAAGTCCATACGACAATCAGCATGAACATGTTACATGACGTGTTTGATACTTTACAACATTACAAAGTAAACTTACCTCCTATCTAAAACTCCATATAACAAAGTAAACTTACCTCCTATCTAAAACTCCATAAGGCACAGCCTCTCTCGTGTTCTGGCTGTGATCGTACAGATTCTTGTTCACCACCTAATTATAATTATTATAGGGACCGTTATTGCAACTTAGTAACAATTATACTTGGAAACAATTACAACAACTCCTAAATTTCTAATTCTAGTGGTACACAAAAAGGTTGGATTACGAATGATAAGGATGAAATCAAGAATAAATTACCTGAATGTGGGATGTTTTAGCCATATCATCAGGAGAGAAGATACTGAACTGTATCTCTGCTATCTTCTTACAGACATCAGCCTCGTGGTACTGCTCTTTAACCATGATAGTATCTTCTTCACCTCATATCCAGATACTATCAGGTGGTTTTACTATGTGTTCTCCTCTTCTGGTCCCGCTACATACTTTGGAAATGAAAATCAATACAAGAACTTAATTCCTCTCATCTAGGAGAATGTTTGAGATGTTTACATGAAATTATTGGTGAGGAAAAAATAATTAATTTTTATAGAATTTACAGTATAATTATTAATTATAATTATCAGTAGTAATTATCAGGTGACAAAACAAGACAAAAAGGTTATTTACAAGAAAAAACAAACAATGAAATTAATCCAATAAAGGTAAGAACTAAAGACGATCACTCAGCAAGACAGCAAGGCTTTCCACAAACACAGTTTTCAAAAGTAAAGAGTAAAACTTTTAAAATATTGATATGTTGAAGAAAATAATCACTTTACGGAATGATAATTTCAAATCTATGGATATGACTAATACAACTAGTTGAGTTTATATTTACAGTACAATGCAATGGGGAACTAAAATGAATAAGAACAATAAGATATATATTATTATATTTGAATGAAAAATGTATGCAATTAATAATAATTTAAATATAACTCCCTCTATGTTCCGCGAGAACGAGTCTCTAGGAATAATAAATCTTAACAGGGAAACTTTACCAAAATGAAATACAAATTTAACAAATTCAAAGCAGCACAGCAATGCTAAGTAACTATAATATATTAAGCAGCGGAAAGTAATAAGTTCAAATGATCATTACCTTCGAATCCAAAATTTAAGCGGTTACTCTATAAGTTTATGCGACTACAGTTTTAGTTTGATAAAATCAATAATGAATGCACAATGTTCACAGTTCAACAAATAAATAGTAGAGTCAGTGAGCTCTATAGTTTACATTTAACCATCAAGTTGACTGAATCGTTTCAAGCACAACAAGTTTCTCTTTCATTGTTATGGAAATCAGTATTCACCGACCATCGTAATAATTCATCAATAATAAATCATCAAAATACCACTAAAATTAGATATCTCTAATAACTCCGACACCAGCGCTAAACCGATGAGTATCCATGCTGGCCATCTCGCTCCATTCGCCTGCGCGCGGATCATAGCACTCCACCGTTCTCAGCGCTGCGCTACCGTCGTGTCCTCCCACAGCGAATATGCGCGCGCCGAGCGTGCAGACTCCAACACCACCACGTGCCTGACGCATCGACTTTATCTCCTTCCACACGTCAGCGTTGGGGTCGTACATCTGAAACAATCGGGGCTTTGTTAGAACTGCATCAAATAACAATTGTTATAGCGGTTCTCTAACAGGTGGTACTCTATTCTTTACTACATTTGCTGCGACACACAGTACACACAGTACACACAGTACACACAGTACACACAGTACACACAGTACACACAGTACACACAGTACACACAGTACACACAGTACACACAGTACACACAGTACACACAGTACACACAGTACACACAGTACACACAGTACACACAGTACACACAGTACATTTGCTGCGACTGTGTCCAGCTTCTAAAATAAACTTGGTGGCTATTATTCTATTTCAATACGACAATACTTGGTGGGGGTAGCAGCTGTAATATAGTTATTATTATATTTATGTCACTTGATACGTGGGACACACAACTCAATACGAGATGTGTAATAATTGTAACTTGGCGCTGGGCCAGGGAGACAGATAACAGGCTATTAGTAATAGTTGTAGTTCTAGTGTTCAATAACTGCAGTGTAAGTAACAGTTACAGTAGGTCATTGTGGGTTAAACAGGGAAATGGAGCTAACGATCTGTTAGCTCAGCCCGGGAATAATGGTGTACAGTGTACCAATGCAAATGGCTATTCTATACTATGTACTATAGAGTGGTACCATGGTAGTATAGAATAACCTTGTACAATATGGTCTGCGAAATAATACGTATGTATTGACTATTTACGTATTATTATGGTATCACGAGGACTGTGCTTGACGTACAAGTAACTAATTATTTAATTTACTAATTGTATTAGTGTAATTATAACAGGCTCACGGCAACTGTAAATAGGAGATCACCATTCAATCATCCTTATTTACACAATATTCAAGATATTCAACTTAATTAGTAATATTAAAGAAAGGGCAGTTGACTCACCTCGACTGTATTAAGATAGGATCTACCGTCGTGTCCGCCCACAGCGTACAAGTTACTGTTAAGTGTAGCTACTCCCACTCCGACCCGTGACACAGCCATCGGTGCTACTTTACTCCACTGGGAGGTGATTAGAGGTAATTAGGGGTGATTAGAGGTAATTAGTTGTTGTGTAAGACTATGTGTCATGTCTTATATTGATAATTATAGTTAATATTTAATAATAGTTAATAGTGCTATGTTTACAGTATGCACTGAAGGGGTATCCTAGGAAGTTTTATAATTACTTTGAGCTGGATATAAGCCAAGATGAAATATTTTAAGAGAACATTGTACAGTGGAACTTCTATTCGCACTAGTACATCAAATAATGGACCTGTAAGATTGCCGATGCTAGTGTATACTGTATGTATTGGCAATACCAACTAGTATTGTATTATAAGAGGGGCTACAATCACCGATTACGCGCGCATTATAATATGGTGGTCCACTCTGTAGCAGAATATTCAGCTCTAGAATGTGGGCTTATATAAGCTCCCAAACGTCAAAACCAGCACACTCAAATATGTGATAACGCAGTAAATCCATGAATATTGAATATGATACGTTGAATATTGCATAACATACATAGTACAATACTATAACTTATAATACAGCACTTTTATAGACAGTAGCAATTACTGTACTACCAACCTTGGCCATGTGAGGGTCAAACATCTCCACTGAGTTGAGTCTAGAAGAGCGGTCATCACCGCCCGCTACAAAGAGGAAGTTATGTAGAGTTCCACACCCTGCTCCGCCACGGTGAGTTAGCATTGAGGCTACCTGGAGGTGAGTTAGTGTTGAGGTTAATAACAGGGTACATGAGAGTGGACTTAGTATTTGGAAGTATCTAGATCAGTAAGTAACAACTAAAACGATAAGATAAAAGGTCGTTACCAAATCATACAACAGATCTCTGTTTGATATATATGATAGAAAATATAGGGAAACTCTATTCATCCAATATTATGACAAAAGAAATTTAATAGTACATTCTGCCTATAATGTACTTTATTTGCACCTTATGGTCACTAAATCCTGGTAAATAGAGCTGAATTACCTTAGTCCAGCAGTTACTCTGAGGGTCGTACCGTTCCACAGATTTGAGGGAGCTAGCACCATCGTACCCACCGAGAGCGTACATTGGACCACCAAGCACTCCAAGTGCAAGCGAGCGCCGCGGAGTGTTCAGAGGTGCTATTGCTACCCAGCTGTTCAGGATTGTGTCGTATCTCTCACCTGTACTGGAATGAGGAGGGAAGTTCAGTTTCATCCTTACACTTACACCCAGTACACACAGTACACACAGTACACACAGTACACACAGTACACCCAATACACACAGTACACACAGTACACACAGTACACCCAGTACACACAGTACACACAGTACACACAGTACACCCAGTACACACAGTACACACAGTACACACAGTACACACAGTACACACAGTACACCCAATACACACAGTACACACAGTACACACAGTACACACAGTACACACAGTACACACAGTACACCCAGTACACACAGTACACACTGCACAGTACATATAGTACACACAGTACACCCAATACACACAGTACACACAGTACACACAGTACACACAGTACACACATTACATATAGTACACACAGTACACCCAATACACACAGTACACACAGTACACCCAATACACACAGTACACACAGTACACCCAGTACACACAGTACACCCAATACACACAGTACACACAGTACACCCAATACACACAGTACACACAGTACACACAGTACACACAGTACACACATTACATATAGTACACACAGTACACCCAATACACCCAGTACACACAGTACACACAGTACACACAGTACACACAGTACACCCAATACACACAGTACACACAGTACACACAGTACACACAGTACACCCAATACACACAGTACACACAGTACACACAGTACACACAGTACACACAGTACACACAGTACACCCAGTACACACAGTACACACTGCACAGTACATATAGTACACACAGTACACCCAATACACACAGTACACACAGTACACACAGTACACACAGTACACACATTACATATAGTACACACAGTACACCCAATACACACAGTACACACAGTACACCCAATACACACAGTACACACAGTACACCCAGTACACACAGTACACCCAATACACACAGTACACACAGTACACACAGTACACACAGTACACACAGTACACACAGTACACCCAATACACACAGTACACACAGTACACCCAATACACACAGTACACACAGTACACACAGTACACCCAATACACACAGTACACACAGTACACACAGTACACACAGTACACACAGTACACACAGTACACACAGTACACCCAATACACACAGTACACACAGTACACACAGTACACACAGTACACCCAATACACACAGTACACACGTACTGTGTGTACTGTGTGTATTGGGTACACACAGTACACCCAATACACACAGTACACACAGTACACACAGTACACAGTTTCAAGATATTTATATCTTTTTCAAGATATTTATATCTTTTTCAAGATATTTATATCTATCTTCTTTTATAAAAAACCTCTTAATCTGTAGTATATAAGGATATTGTAGAACTTACTTGAGATAAGAGGTACCGTTGTAGCCACCAATAGCGTACAAATGCTGATCCAGCGTAGCGACGCCGACACGCCCACGCTTAGAACTCATTGGGGTGCTGAGATCCCAGCTGTTAGACCGGAGATCATACACCTCCACACTTTCAACAGCAGCAGCGTCCCAACTACTGTCAATACCTCCACACACGTACAACTGTCCTGTTAGATCAGGGGAGTACGGCTTCAAACTGCAGTTATTTATCACATGTGGTGAAAAATAAATTAAATCTTTGAAAAATATCACGACATCTAGATGTTTTCACAAATTTAAACTTTAACATACCACAGGTACTGAGACGGGGTTGGAAGCGCTCCTGTGACATGACATTAGTAGCCATCTTGGGACAGAGATGATAGTTCTTAGCCTCATCTACTAGGTCCCTACAAGCCAAGTTCTTCCTTATAAACGGAGTTTGCTCCACCTGCACAATGTTTAACGTTATTATTTACTTATATAATATATATAATACTTAATACTTATATATATAACTTAATTCGAACAATTGGAACAAATCAAATTGGCGGGCAAACAATCCGTTTCATGATATGTATAAAACAATACCAATCATCATGTCAGTGCCAAATAGAATAATGAATTGTAGCGTTATGACATGTTGCTCCTTTATAAAATAATTATTATCGATCATGAAACATTTTCAAAATATCAAAATTTACAAAATGTCCAAAAAAACTTCTAAACAAAAAAACTTTTGGACATTTTGTAAATTTTGATAATTTTGAAATGATGATTATCAAATTACGCACAAGGACAGTGTAAGTATTACCTCATACAATAGAAATGGGGTATTACCTTGGACATGAGGTATTCAGGAGAGAGTTGAGGTAATCGCACGTGGTTGAGAAGTCTAGGACAAGCGACCTGTCTCTCAGAAGGAGTAATATCACTGTCACTGCTAATGTAGCTGACCCATCTCTGAACCGCTTCAAACACCTGCTCCTCACTTTTTATTATTATCTCGTCTCTACACAAGATGTCTGACACCTGGTTAGAGGGGAGCAGGGGGAACTCCTCACCCTCCACTACGTCCATAAAGTGGGTATCCACAAACTTGAGGGAAGCTAACTTGAGGTCCTGGCAGGAGTGGATCTCTGCAAAGTTGAGGATACCCAGTGCGTTAGTGGGGTGGAGTTGGGACTCCAGGAACGAGCAACACACCTTCATAGCCGCTGAAATGAACATCTCTTTTAGTAGAAGCAGTGTTAGTATTAGTAATATTACTTATGCTATGTACTTCTATTTTAGTAACTTTCACTTAAATAAGTTAACTCTCAGTTTAACGATTATTTTTTTAAATGTACATTAAGTTTTTGAGAATAACAAACCAGTTTGTAAAGATAAAGATCATAACAAAAATAAAATTTACAGTGAATCTGGAGGAGATTGGACGCTTGAAAAAGAGACTGGACGTTTGTTACATTGACATCAAGGTATCCTGTGTACACAAAGTCAACAAGAGCTTTCAGTGCTGAAAACTCCAACTCTTTTATCGTTACACACGTCTGCGGAATAAGTTTTGCTAGTATTAAATAAGTAGATAAGGATATATCACATGGTAGTGTTATTCAATAAGTAGCTGATCAGTGGTTTAAAACACGACAAATACCTAAATAAATTGCTTCACATTCTGGCCGGCCACGTGACAATGTTCCACATACCTCAACAGACTCCTTCATGTCGTTAGTGAACATAGCACAGAAGTAAGGGCTGCACGCACTCAGAACTACCCTGTGAGCAGGCAGCTTCTCACCCTCAGCCTGACAAAGAGGGAGTTAGCTTACACTCTACACAGTATGTTCTACTAAATGACCCTGTTTATCAATTTGCTGATCATGTTCGAGGCGGGGGTTCCAGAAAATAGGCTTATAATTCTAATCATATTTAAATATGATTTAAATGTATCCAAGTTTCATGAAAACATACCTCAAGCCAGATATCACACAATTTTTCTTGTTGCCTGAGGTCCTCCATATTGCTGAGCAGTGACGATGCGTGTGGCACATCAGGACACCCCAAACTTCCTTGGGAGGAACTTGTCAACATTCCCAGTCCGGAGCGACAGAGTCTCCCAAACGAGCCCAGGCTCAGGTTGTCTGGATTTGTTCTGAGTCTGGCAGCCATCTTATATCTTTTTGTTGTTCTTTTATCAGGTCTTCATCATGCTAGATATTAGAATGGATTATATTCGTCAAATGTAAAAATGTTGATATTTCATTATTATCTCTGGGAAAACAAGGATACCAATATTGGAATTCTCACAATAGACTGAAAAATAGAATTTGAAATAATATCAATACTTTACACAACATTTCACAATTTACACAATGTTAAATTAGTAAAACAACCAGTTGCTTATACTTTATAGTGATGCAATAATGCAACAGAGAAGTTTTGAAATGAACCAGGCTTATGCATTCTCCATGTAAAGCTGACCAATTAAAAGTAAAAGAATAAAAGTTTCTCTTTCTAAGAATGAAAATTAATCTGGAACATCTACCTTTAAAATTCAATTTGCAGCATACATAAGGAATTTAAGAATTATCAAACTGTCAAGCTTATCATATCAAAAACAAATTAACATCTGACATTGTACTCTTTAAGTGGGATACATTAACAACTCTCACAAGTCACGATAGATACCTTTTATAAGTAGTACAATATTATAACTCATAAGTTACTGAATTACCAAAGCTAAAGGGCCTATAGGATTAGATGGAAATCCCTTGCAATTAGCTAAAATACGAGTGCAACAAAGGTTACAGGTCATCGTCACTGTCACTCCAGTTATCCTGATAAACAGTCTTTGTTTGAGCATTACTTTCATCCGTTTTATCTGATGCTCCAGGAGGTTCCCAGAGAAGTATTGTACAGTCACTAGAACAAGAATATAACTGTGCAATAGCTTTGTTGAAACAAACAGCATTTATTCTGCCAAAGTGCCCAGAGAGATCAGTGATGTGTTGACCAGTTAAAACGTCATAAACTGATACATCACTACCATTTGGTAAATATAGCAATCCAGGGTAACACGAATAGAAGGAAACAGCTGCACCAACTGATTTAATGTCTGCACAAGCTGCAGTTCCAAAGTTAGTAAAAGTGTTTTCCCCAGTTGTCATGTCCCAGCAGCGCACTTGCTCATCTTGGCCAGAACTGAGAAGATAAAGACCTCCCTCTGTCTGTGATAAACTTGTCACTGATCCACTATGACCTTTGTCTGAGTTTCCATTGAACTGATCAAAATAATGCACCGCTGCTTTTGATCTTCTTACATCCCACATGACTATTTTTCCATCTCTTCCAGCAGAAATTAAGGCATAAGCGTTTCTGTTTGACCAGATAACATTATTAACTGCTGCTGTATGTCCTCTCAAAGTATGAGTGTCAGATCCAGACTTCATATCACACAGCTTCACTTGATGATTTGATACAGCAGCTGCAATGAGATGGGATGTTTTTCCACCTTTCGCTGATAATTGAGCATCATAAACATGTCCAGAGAACTTGAACTTATCAACAGCAGCCATCTCATTGGTGTCCCAGACTTGTACACATTTATCTGACGAGCCTGATATGAATATGCCTGTGTCTTTAGGGAACCACTTAATAGAGTTAATACTGAATTTATGACCTGTTTTTGGTTCATAACATGTTGGTTTGACCTCATTAACAGAGTTAACCTCCAGCTCATTTATCTGATGTATGCTGACACCACCAACAGAATCTCCAGATAGCAGATATTCTCCATTAGTATCTATGTCAATTGCTGTACTGGCATATTTAGTTTCTGATGTCACAGTCGTGTTGTTTGAAATTTCAAAAGAAAGAGTCTGATTTGATCGCAAATTATGCACATATTTTGAGTCAAACAATTGCTTTTGTCTATCATTGATTAAACGCAAAACATTACTCATGTTATTGACAACTGAGATGGAGGGAGTAAGCAAAGGAAACTAATTCATGATCTTCCACCTAATATTTTTTAAATAGATGGTTAAAATCAAATGACATAAATTAGATGTATACGTAAATCAGGTGAAAAGTTGTATTTTACACGTGGTTTTATTTTAGACATGGTGCAGGGCATGTCATTAAAGGACAAGGTAAGAAATTTTACATTGTTTGATAGCCTATCAAATGCAATCAAACAAGATTCAGAGCAGCAGATGTAAAACGGTGGGTATCATACAGGAACAACATTTATGAGAAAAATTTAACTTGTAGCTCACTTATCTGGTCAATGATCTAGTATTAGGGGAACCTGTACATGGTAGAGCATAATGATACCGACCATGAAAGAGCTATACATGCCTATTACTAAGCTGAAGGAAGTTGAGACTAATTCTTAAAAGGAATAGTGAACCAATACTTTTGATAAAAATTTATTTGGATAGTGAAATTAAAAATTGATATAAAGATAACTAAGGTATGTCCCTGCCAAAAAACACTGAAACTCTCATTGTCAGAGTTTGTACTTTGATTTTATCAATACGTTCGACACAGTACCCACTTTGTTGTTTATGTTGGTTTAATCGCATTATTTATATTATTCTCTTAGTGACCAACTGAATGTAACCGGGTTACCTTTTTTAGCAATGACGACCAAGTGACTATTGAATTTACGCCAATCCCTGTGCACGGTACTCTTTTCAAGCTTCTCCCGAGAGAATCGAGCAATAATCTACATCTAGGTAAATATTTGATTCAGGATGTCAATCCTTCGCAGCTCGGTGAGGCCCAGTGGTCGCATCCCGCCGTTCTACCGAAGTGGTTGCGAGAATACTTATTTGATGCGCGGCGTGGCCCAGTAGGGCATCGCGCTACAAGGTAAATATTAACAGGGTGATACTCGTAAAATATTTGTTCCAGATATTACCGTCGACGAGTCCAACTCGGCAAGCGTCCTGGTAGGTTGTAAACCTACAACGCGCGCCGGTCCAGACCATTAACAATGGTTAATATAAAAGTGCAACATTTTCATGTTCATTTTTGCAAAATTTGCTGTGCGCGTCGTGCTGGATCTTTAAATGATTATGATGTATATTCAACATGGTGCAAGTGTAATTTAATTTAATTTTGGTTCGTCTATCACGTTTATTTTTTAATAAATTAACCCCAAACCCGGCGCTTGTAGGTTTACAACCTACCAAAACGCGCGTTGACGGGTGATACTCGTAAAATATCGGTTCCATTTATCTGCTGATGCTACAAGACGCGCGCTGAGTTGGACTCGTCGACGGTCCAAATATATGGAACAAATATTTTACGAGTATCACCCGTTAACCCGGCGCACGAGCTAATTTGAAAATATTTGAACGTGCATCATTTACTAAACGTTGTATACTTTTTATTTGTTGTATATTTCTTCTTTATTATATGGCGCGGTCTTTGCTTCAGCTTCGGCCGCGAAAAAAGTATATTACGTAGTACCTTGACCATTGTTAATGATCTGGCCCGGCGCGCGCTACTTCGTAGCTCTTGCCATCAAGAAGAAAGCGGCGCGCGCTACTTCGAAGAAATTTAGACGAGTAACATCCGTCAAGTAGTACTTACTACCTTGCTCTAACCAGAGCCCTCTCGCTTGCAGTAGCGCGCGACCGTGAAACAAGCGCGTCACGCAGTACGCGTATACACATGGCTATGTGAACTTACTACCTAGGCATAGATTACTTGTCTATTGCTTGCTCCTCTCACGTTGAGGAAGATTGAAAAGAGCATTGTAGGTTTATAACCTACCAGGACGCGCGCCGAGTTGGACTCGTCGACGATGCTGAAACAAATATTTTAAGAGTATCACCCGTTAAAAAATAGCACCGCGCACAGGGACTGGCAATTGGCATTCCAGGTAAATTAAAAAGGTATACAGTGTATGTCAATGTATCATTCATTTGGCGTTCATGTTAATGGCCGGCGCCACTATAGTGATCGCCGGCCATATTTTGAGTCCCAAATATCATAAAAATGTTACAGTTGTGAGTTGCAATTAATAACGTGTAAATTTTGTGTACTAATTGATTAAAATAAGTACTATGAAATGAAACTAAAAATATCTTACAGCATACAGATGTACAAATAATACACTCATTCTTACATCTTATATTACAATTTTCAGTCGTGTCAAAACATGAAATCAAACTCTTTTTCCGTTTGATTCTGCAGCGATTATTATGCATTCAACAACATGCACAGTTAATGTTATCAGTTATACAACATCTAAACGGTTTTTTACTTTGAGCTCACAACCTTCTGATTTGTCACTTTCTGCGCTGTTTTGGATTAACACAAAAGTTACAAAAAGCATTTGAATATCGGCTATAAGTTTGGCAGTGGCGTCTAGCGTACTAGTACTTTAAACTTGATGAACATGTCAGAACAATGAACAATGAACATCTAAATGTTAAGTCTTTTGCAATAACGACCGGCTGCACACGAGTAGCTATTTAAGGTGATCACACGAAGCCATGAAGCAACCAGTTACAGGTAAACATTTAACAATCTCGTTCTTATTTGTCACTCAGATTCTCAGCTGGCTCTCGGACCAGTTCGAGAAGTTTCTCCATCTTAGCTATCTCGTTCTCATTCGAGTACGCTTTGTCCTGTGGAGAAGCCTTCTGTTATTGTCAGTAACGCCAAAAATGGCCGGTGTTCTGATTTTGTAGCAAATGAAACTTAACTTTGTTAAAGGTGACACTTAAAAAGACCATGAGGCAACGTGGTGAGTAAAGCGGTGAGCAAAGTGATGAATAAATTGTGAGTAAAATGGTGAGTAAAGCGGTGAGCAAAGTGGTGAGTAAAGTGGTGAGTAAAGTGGTGAGCAAAGTGGTGAGCAAAGTGATGAGTAAATTGGTGAGCAAAGTGGTGAGTAAAGCGGTGAGCAAAGTGGTGAGTAAAGTGATGAGTAAAGCGGTGAGCAAAGTGGTGAGTAAAGCGGTGAGCAAAGTGGTGAGTAAAGTGATGAGTAAAGCGGTGAGCAAAGTGGTGAGTAAAGTGATGAGTAAAGTTGTGAGTAAAGTGGTGAGCAAAGTGATGAGTAAAGCGGTGAGCAAAGTGGTGAGTAAAGTTGTGAGTAAAGTTGTGAGTAAAGTGGTGAACAAAGTAGTGAGCGAGATGGTGATAACGACGCACTTTACATAGAAATAAATAATAAGAGTAGGGCTCCACAAACAAAAACAGTTCAGACGACACAGAAGATTTGTTTTCCTACCGGCGTCTTTTTGCTTTTGTTCTGAAAGCAAACTCGACCATCAATCATCAATAATTAAATTGCAATTTTAAAAAGAAATATAAAAACTTGGTTATAGCTTCAAAATGTATGCAATTAAGCCAAATGAATTGTTAAATGAACCTTTAGGCATTTTCTGAGGTTGGGGCTAAGTTTTAGAGTCAAAGCGTTGCCTCGGTCATCTCCAACAAGAATTACAGGATAGTGTTTGTTGAACGCCAAATGATTAACTTTTGTTCTCTTTTTCTGCACAACTGAAAAGTACTTAAGTAGGTGAATGGTCAAAGTGTATTTATTTGTTTTCTTACGTTTAGTGTAATTAATGCGCATAAATTCAAAAGTGGAATAATACTAGGACAACATCAATTCTTGGCTGATTACGAAACTTAATTCTGCGCTCACAGCTCAACCTGGAAACCCCAACTTTAACATTTCACGTTCACTACTCCTAGAGCTCCTACCTGACTGCTGACAGAGAGGACTGTATTTCTCCTGACTCAGGTCGAATATGTGCACCTGACCATCGTCCGTCACAGCACCGAACACAGTTGCAGAATAGGGCGACCAAACCACGTCACCGACTGAGTTCCCCAGGTCAAACGTGAACATTGGCTCACTGAAATTAAATCTCCAGGTAATATGTGAACATTGGCTCGCTGAAATTAATGTCCGGGTAAAACGTGAACATTGGCAATTGAAGGAAATAAGTCGGAAGAAAACTTTATCTGAATGAAGTGCATCGCATCCCTTTATTGCGCCGTCAAGTTGGGAGAGAACACAATTAACGCATTCATATATATCGGATCGCATTCGTGCCTTCGGCACTCGTTGAATAATTTCCGATATCTCATGTGGGAATCACACAACAATCCCTATTCATCATGTTACCGCTCAAGTCATAACAAACATCTATAAATTATTTGAGAAATAGACCTGAAAGTTATCCAGAAAAACTTGGCGCGCGTGACACGTTGAGCCATACACGAGCGTGCAAAATGATATAACCATATCTTTAAAGTTCAATTTCTGGCGCCCATTTTTGAAGTTATGTCCTAATAATAAGGCAGGTACATGATAGCAATAATCGCGATGATTACAAATAAGTTACAGGTGAAAGTAAAAGTAAACCTGTAGTTATGATCCCAGATCTTGACGGTCCAGTCAGCACTGCAGCTAGCAAAGACTCGAGGATGGAAGTTGTTCCAGCGGACAGCGTACACGGCCATGTGATGGGCGTGGTAGGTATCCAGATATTGAGAACTGTAATGTTTGCTACACTTGTGGATCTTGCCCTCCTCCGTTCCCACCAGGAACAGGTAGTCCGTGAACTTGTGGAAGTCGAAACACGTTCCACATGCTGGAGAAACAAATGGTGAGTCGTAGAGTGAAGTTAGGATTTAATTTTACACTTTTAAGGTGAAAGAGTTTAGTTCTCACTAACCGGCCATGTTTGAAAATCTGACATATCAGCCATCAGGTGTGGCAAACCTTGATTTTCATAACATTTCCCAAACGTATGGTATTAAATTTAAAACTGTACATACCTACAGTACCTAAATCATATCCTAAACATGCTGCTTTATCAGTTTATGTACCTAAATCAAGTCCCCCAGCCCCAGGGTCGGGCTCTGCTGTGGTGTTCAGTCGTATTAGTATGATATCAGTGTTGTGCAGCTCGTTCTTTATCAGACTCCAACACGTCACCCTACCGTCACTTGAGATTGAGAAGAAGTTCAGGTTGTTGTCCAGATCGTTCTCTTGCCAGTACACCTGCAGACAACGAAATGAAATCGAAAATAAAATAAAAGTGAAAGTTAAATTAACGATACCCAGAAATTAAAGGAACAAGATCGAGGGAAATGTTCTAGAACATTACCTGCCACACGGTGTCAGTATGTTTGCCATTCTTGGCAGAAGACGAATAGTTTGGTTCGTTCATCTTATCCCGGAGATTGTAAACTGCCACACCGCCATCATAGAACCCCACAGCCATCAGCCAGGGGTGCTCGGGGTGAAAATCTAGGGTCATAACCCCACTCTCGGTGGTGTAGGTGAACTCAGGAAAAGATGGGTTCTTCAGAGAGTACACACATATCAAGCCAGACCCTTGTTTCAAGAAATCATAGCTGCCATGACCCACTGCGAACATATCATCATACTCCGGATTGAAAACAACAGCAGTAACCGACAGTTTCTTAGCTTTATCCGACTTGAAAGGCCAGAGGGGCAACAGAGTACCTTCATTCCCCTTGAACTCATCTGATGCATCCTCCCAGTACTTAAAATCCTGCGCAATCTCATCGTGTGTGTTCTGATTAACCATCCTCTCCACAATCTTAGCAGGTGTCCCTATCCTCTGAATCTCGTCTCCCTGGTTCAGCTCCGGTACTGAACTCTTGCCTCTCTTCTCCACCTCCTTGTCACGTGACTTTTGTTTCTCTTTCTGTCTCTCTTGCCGATCCATTTCTTCTTGGTATGCGTCAAATATTTCCCACTGGTTGGCTGTTGCTGAGAAGTTTGTGCGGGGAGGTGGTTCTGTAGTTGTGCCACGTTCCTGGTCGAGAGTTTAGTGTAAAATGAGGAGCAAGAGAAGACAGAATATTACAGATTTATTGTGCGACTTAAGGTACCACCTTGAAACCATTTAAACAATTCTGCAACTAAAGAACAAATAGATCTTAAGGCTGAGCGTGAGTTTGAGACGAAATTAGCTTTCATTTTAGACTTCACGTCTCCCGAAATAAAACTGCGAACAAAGTGAAACAAGGAACTAAGTAAACTGTAAAACCAAATTTTCGTCACGCATTGGACTTTATCAAGGTTACACTGAAAAGGGGGGGTTTGATCTCTGAACCAGAGAGTGTGGTAATTGGGTTAGGAAAGTAAACATACATGCGACAAAGATCAGGGTTACCATTAGGAAGAAAATTTCAGCAAAATTTGTAGAAAAGGGGTGTACACATCCATGCGAGAAAAAATCGGGTTACCAATAAGAAAAGATCTGTACATAGGAGCTTCAAGACGACCTATTAGAGGTCGAATCTACGAACACGAGTCTAGCTTCCGACTCAACAACAGCAGGACCACACTAGGATACCACGCTGCTGAACACCGCAGAGCAGACGACCCACACTACACTCCCATATCGGGAAAAAGAGACTTAGCAAAATTCTTCGAAAACTACGAATTTAGCATATCAGAACAATGTAAGGATACCTTAGATACCTTTATAAGAGAAGGCTTAGCAATAGAACACACTAAACCGAAAATCAATAACATGTGTGGAAACGGTTTTACAGACTAATTTCTAGTACACTTTTACTACGCTGATCTGAGGGTTGTAAACTTTCTCTGTTGTGATTTTTTCTTATTGGTAACCCGATTTTTTCTCGCATGGATGTGTACACCCCTTTTCTACAAATTTTGCTGAAATTTTCTTCCTAATGGTAACCCTGATCTTTGTCGCATGTATGTTTACTTTCCTAACCCAATTACCACACTCTCTGGTTCAGAGATCAAACCCCCCCTTTTCAGTGTAACCTTGATAAAGTCCAATGCGTGACGAAAATTTGGTTTTACAGTTTACTTAGTTCCTTGTTTCACTTTGTTCGCAGTTTTATTTCGGGAGACGTGAAGTCTAAAATGAAAGCTAAATTCGCAACTAAAGAAGGAAAATGTCTGACCCTGTAAGGATTGTTGAAGGTTTGTGAAGCTCGTTCACTGTAGTTGAATTGGTTTCTCAGAGCAGATTCTGGCTTCACCGCTGCAAGGACCTCCTTAGGAGCATCCCTTTCCGCCTCTTCTCCCTCCAGCTCCAGTTCCAGTTCCTCTTCTCCTGGTATCTCTATTTCATTGAGGTTCTGCTCCACACCTGTCCCAGAGTCTGACAGTCCTAGCCGTGTAAGCTGCCGTCGTCCCTCGTCACTCTCCTTATGTAACATGTTACCGTCCATTGAGAAGTGGATAGCTAGCTGGTCAACCCCCATCTTCATCTTGTAACAACGCTCCTGAGGAAGGGAAGTTTGTGACACTTGCGATCTTAATGATTGTTAGTTGCACCATGAAAACTTTAATGGATAATAATGTTTAATTTGTAAGGGCTCTTACTTTGAAACTGTAGCGAACAATATTGTTGGGGGCGTGAGGATTGTTGGCAGTCAGGATTCTAGTAAACTCCTCCTTCAGCTCCTCTGGAGACAGATCTAGCTGGTCGTCTGGCTTCATCAGGATTTTAGGCTGAAAGAGAAATGGCTCACTACTTGATTTTTGAACAGAAGCAAGGTCGGGTACTGTAATATTGAACTGATTGTAACATCAGGTCTCACTAACATAACAACAATCACAGTATCACACATTGCAAGTGAGCTCTGTTGAAAATCGGAGATTTTACAAGGTTTTATTTAGATGTTAGAATTGTGAAAGAATGCACGTGTGTATGTCCGTCGGTTATTTTTTTGTAGAGTGTCTGAATGTTTGAAACCTGGAGTAGGTTAGAAGAAGACCCTATAGAGGAGCCGCTTGTTCCTTGAGTTGGGGTTCTAGAAATCAACCTGTTTTGGGCCTTCACTGCCCGGGCCATAACACTTACTGACAGTGTTGCCATGGTAACCAACAACACAAATTTTACTTACTTCCATTGCTGACATGACGCTATATATCCAATGAAGTGCTGGAGACACAAGAAAATAGCAGATACACGATACAAGATATTAGGTACTGTTAATATGCACAATGAGCTAACGAGACAAAATGATAGTGTACTGAAGGCACTGCTTTGTCCTGTACTCGTACAGGGAGCGTGTTGGTTACCATGGATACACCTAAATACAACGCCAGGTGTACTGAAGCCCCGTGTTCGGGCTCAAGGCATGTAGCTCGTTAATTAATTAAATGTACTTTCTACTTTCATAACTATTACGTATATAGTTTATATATATAAACTTATCAGCTAATGACTGCCATTTTGTCCTTAATGGAGTTTAAAAGTAACAGTTGTTAGGACGGTTTCAGTCTTAGTTCAGATGAAAGAAATTCGGAAATAGGATATCAAGAACTATATAATAATATAACATTAACCATATAGTATAATGATCATAATAATATAATAATCATAATGACATATCGAATATGGCCCACCTCCCAAGCTAAGTATTCCATATCATAGGTATTGATTATTGACTATTCTGATGAAGAGTAATCTTGAATTAAATAACGTATTCACTATTCTATTCCCCAGTGTGTTATAGTATAGATAAACAATATTTGACCCGTGGGATCAAAGTTGGTGGATGGTCCAATCAGGAACAAGATACCGCATTATAAACAAGTATCACATCACGCGACCTTCCAAGTTTAGGTGCGGGTCAACTGTCAACTAATCTGCTATGTTTTGTTTATAAAGTTAAACGTAGCAAAAATACCGATTCAAAGTGGATGATGGAGTTAACAAAGAGTCGAGCACCGACTCTAAATTTTAACAAGAGAGTCGAGATTCCAATCAGTTGAGGTCCAATAGGAATGCAGTTTTCCAGGTCACGTGATATTAAGTGACCAATAGGAGAGCTCTTGGATACCTGCCTCCAGGGGGTCCGGCTGAGCCAGCTTGTCCGATTATCTTAATCAGAAATGTGCTGGTACCAGCAGATGAATAGCGAACAGACTGATTGATGCCTACACATGTCGGGAAAGCTGATATGATGGGGTTGGGTTTCGAGTGCTTGTGTTGGGTTTCGAGTGCTTGTGGTTCACTGCCTACATCCCAGAACTTCTTGTGATTATAAGTTGATGAACGAAAGTAATAAGGTTCTCTATTAGCGCGAGTAGTCAATTAGTCAATTAAAAGCTCCCAAGTGAACCCTCCAAGTCCAAGAGAAGAAGTGTTTAACGCAATTACTAATCCCAATACTAATCACAAATACACATTTGTGGAGTGTTCGGACAGGATTCTAGTTACAAAAATTTCGCTCGGTTATTCGTTGAACTGTTCTCAATCCCTCTGAAAGTATGTATTTCGGATGTGATTGCATCGGACCATAAAATTGCCTGTACCAAAAGAAACTAACCGTTTCAGCACCGTACAGGTCCCCAAATTCGTCATCCAGGGCTCTACTAGCTCGTCTCATATCAGTTCGGGAAACTGTGGACTTATTCAAAGCTAACATGGACATTTTGTTTGCTCACTAGGTTGTGAAAAGAGTGGCAGTGAGTAAATATTTTTGTTAAGATTAGATATACTCAACATTAGAATTAATACAGCTGAACCTCTATATAGCGTGCATCTGTATACCGGGTACCATTATATAGAGGTTCTATTGTATAATAAATACCGATAATATACATATGTATTAAAAATAATTTCTACACCAAAGTCATGTAACAGCCGTCTAGACCTAGACAAAATTTAAAATGAGAAATTGTAAAACCACTAACAAGCCGCAGTTAAAACTGCCGGTAATCAATAAAACCTATAATGTGTGAAAGACCGCTTTTGCAAAATAATAATCTGCAACAAATTGATAACGCGTCTACAACTGCCCGTATATAGAAGCTGCTAACAGTACAGCCGCCCAACACTGCTAATCCAAACAAATTGTCTTTAAAATAAATCTCGAAACTAGCCAGTAGCCAGTCTATAACGTAGCAACGCAGTGCTCTCGAACAAATTGATAGTAGTGACAGTGTGGAGAGCAGAATATGCAACTTAGGTAGGATTCAGACCACAATAGCGGAGTTATAAGTAAGTAGCGTTAAACACAGCTGGTAATAAGCACATTGTAGTGGATCATGTGAATTCCCACCAAACAGTCCAAACCCTGTTAAGCTAACCAGTAGCAGTGCCTACTGCCTATATCATCTTACAATTATTGTCTATTTCAGTATGTGGTAAGTAAGATAAGTGAGATGAACTGAAAGCCAACACAGAAATGATATAAAAGCGATCAATCCTATGCGAGGTTTCGAGAGAAAAAACAGTTTGAAATAAATTGTACTCCAATTCCAACCGTAAATATAATGTTCGGTTTGTTACTTAGTAACGACTTTAAGTCTAGCCAGGTTCATCAAGTAAGTTACACATTTTTAGAACTGTGGAATATGATCGAAGATTAGCAAAAACCACAATACAATCCGTTACATGTCGGACAAGATGGTGGATTTTGCTGAATGAGACTGAAAATACGCGCCGCCGCCTCTTCCGCCGATCACTCTTCAAATAATGATGCGCTCGACCGTCTCTTCCACAAACCACTTACAGAAGGCGTGATAGCTAGCGCGTTACCAGAATATCGTGTGGAATGTTTGGTAACATTCCGCACCTTACTATTTGCTTAGTCGTGTAATTGGGAGTTGGGACCTTGGTTCCTTATCTGATAGGCAAATATGTGACTGCAGGGTGGTGGCACGATCAGTTTGCCGTACCTATCACATAACAGCATCGCTATTCCAAGCTTTTTAAACTGCTTACTTGCAACTATTAGTATTACCCATCCATATTCCATCTCCTAACTCACTATTAGTTAAGTTTGTGTTTCGTCGAGGAGCACAGTTCAAACTTAAACAATTCTCCTATCGAGGATATACCAAATGACAGATACCCTCCAGTTCTTACTAACTTTAGTTAACTTTACTTTCTAAAGAACACTTGGAGTTCTGGGATTCTCCACATGCAGTCGAAAAAGGAACGAACTTGACGGTTTTAGGAGATTACTCCATTTCACGGTCCATCCGTAAATTTGTGACTTTTTATGAAAACAAAGTCAATTAATAATATTATTTATATATCTGAGTAAAACATTTGAGTATAACATACCTGCATCCATTCGTCTTCGTCTTCCAGTATTCTAAAATCATCGTCATCCTGTAAAACATATTTTAGTCTAAATTTTGACGAATTTTTCACTGAAATTTGTATCTATATACAAATTCTCGATATCTTAACCTTATAAACGTGTAAAATGGAAAGTTTTTGTTGTTGATTGAAGGATTTGATAAACATGGCATCGTTCTACCCGATTAGTCGAATTTACATCCTCAAACAAATCACAACTGCGTTAGGTTGATACAAATTTGAATGTTTTGGTTACTTAATTAACTTTGCTCACCTTACCTTGTATCTCCTCATACTTAGCTTCCCCTGCATCTTACTGCTCGATAGCGCGTTCATTCCTGCATTCTGGAAAGATAAAGTTTATCTCTTATCTCTTATCGTTATCACCATTCATTGATATCGTTGAGGGTATAATATCAGTGGTCTCCGGACTAGTAAGTGTCCGAACCAAATTAACATTTTCCTGATCTCTAAGTTAATTTTTGGTGGCCACTGTGAATAATAATTTATTTTTTATTCTTTCGTCTAATTTGGGTTTTTAATAGTGATCACGAAATCGTGCATTATAAGACAATGTAAAATAACAATGTAAAATAACAATGTAAAATAAGATAAATGTACTTACAGCAAAGGAAACGCTGCGGCGTCGCTCGGATATGTTCTGCATGAGTCCAATAAAGGGGCCCTGTTTTGTCAACACTCCTCGTGTCCTAGTTGTCTGCAGGTTCCCACCTCGCACTCTGGAGTGGAAGATATTTACATTTCTTAATTGTTGCAAATTACAATGAATAATCCATATAAAAAGTAATCAAAATCCCTCCCTCCGTCCCTCCGTCCCTCCGTCCCTCCGTCCCTCCCTCCCTCCCTCCCTCCCTCCCTCCCTCCCTCCCTCCCTCCCTCCCTCCCTCCCTCCCTCCCTCCCTCCCTCCCTCCCTCCCTCCCTCCCTCCCTCCCTCCCTCCCTCCCTCCCTCCCTCCCTCCCTCCCTCCCTCCCTCCCTCCCTCCCTCCCTCCCTCCCTCCCTCCCTCCCTCCCTCCCTCCCTCCCTCCCTCCCTCCCTCCCCTCCAACTCACCCTATGCTGCGTCTCCTCTCTTGAACTGCTGCACCAGGACTCCCATTTCCTCCACTGTTAAAGGAAAGTCCAAGCGGGCTGAGCTCGTCTTGAGGGGCCGGGTATTCAATCTCCATCAAGTAACCAAAGATACCACTCTGACCACAGTTTCCACAGTTTCCACAGTTACCACAGTTTCCACAGTTACCACAGAAACCACAGCGACTGATCAGAGAGTATTAAACAGGCTACAAGTAAACATAGCGAGATGTGCAGCGCGACTGGGAAGTGAAGGAGGGGAGAGATTGTTATCCGGCGAACATTGCACCTCAACTCCAACTCAACAAGAGGACCCCCTGCACAGCCAGCTTTCATTGCTATCTGTAATCATACACAGATATGTCATGATATCTGCAGGGACCCCCGCCGTGCAGCTAACTCAGTTTATCCTGAAGTTCACGTGTCATATTCTCCCCAATTTCAGAAAGTTCATTGAACAATGAACAACGAACAAAACCATTGGCACTGTCCAGTGTTCATTTTTAGAAATTACCATTCTACCCACCATTGGTGATATACGACCAATGGCCAAGATTGGAACCCTCTCATCGGTCTGTATCCCCACTAGCTTCATCAGGAGTAGAATCTCCTATCTGAATTTCTAAAAATGTCTTTTCTGAAAACGAATATATTTTAATTCCCCCCTGGCTGAATGAACATTGTGATTACTCTATTCAACTCATACATAATGGTTAAGTATGTCTAAGACGAAAAAAACATAAGGACTAACGTTGGAATGTCATACATCGTCAACTTTTAAACAAAAACTATTGCTCTGTCCTTCTTTTTGGGTTATATTATAATAAGTGTGAGTATTTCTTATATTTAGTTATTATATTTCACGAAATAAAGTAAAAGATGTGATTTCATTTTTATTGGACTAATATGCATGTTTATTTCAAAAGC